AAACAGATGTGTTTTCAGTCTTGATTTGAATGTGCCTAATGTTGGTGCACATCTGATCATTTCTGGAAGCTGATTCCAGCAGCGAGGAGCATAGTGGCTGAAAGCTGATTCACCCTGCTTTGACTGAACCCTTGGAACTTCTAGTTTATATGATCCTAAAGATCTGAGTGATCTGTTAGGTTTGTATTCAGTGAGCATATCTGTAATGTATTGAGGTCCTAGGCCATTTAGTGATTTATAGACCAGTAATAATACTTTAAACTCTATTCTGAATGTAACTGGCAGCCAGTGTAGAGACCTGAGGACAGGTGTGATGTGCTCTGATTTCCTGCTTTTGGTCAGAATTCTGGCTGCAGCGTTCTGGATGAGCTGTAACTGTCTGACTGTCTTTTTGGGAAGGCCAGTGAGGAGTCCATTACAGTAATCCACCCTGCTGCTGATAAAAGCATGAACAAGTTTCTCTAAGTCTTCACTGGAAACAAAGCATCTGATTCTTGCAATATTTTTGAGATGATAGTATGCGGATTTACTGACTGCTTTGACATGACTGTTGAAACTCAGATCTGACTCCAGAGTTACACCAAGATTCTTGACCTTATTTTTTGTCGTTTGACCTTTAGAGCCAAGGTACGCATTTAACTTGAGAACCTCGTCTCTTTTCCCAAATGCAATGACTTCAGTTTTCTCTTTGTTTAACTGAAGAAAATTTTGGCACATCCAATTGTTAATTTCATCAATGCATTGGCAGAGGGTGTCAATGGGGCTGTAGTCATTAGGCAGTAAGGCTAGGTAGATCTGAGTGTCATCAGCATAGCTGTGGTAGGAGATTTGGTTCTTTCTCATTATTTGGCTCAGAGGAAGCATGTAAAGGTTGAACAGGAGAGGTGCCAGAATCGAGCCTTGTGGGACTCCACACGTCATGGGTGTCCACCTTTACCTATGGTCACCTATACTGACATAGTAACCTCTCCCTTCAAGGTAAGATCTGAACCATTTGAGGACTGTCCCAGACAGCCCAACCCAGTTTTTCAGCCTATCCAGAAGTATGCTTTGATCGACAGTGTCAAATGCAGCACTGAGATCCAACAATACCAGCACTGTTATTTTACCTGAATCGGTATTTTGGCGTATATCATTGATTATCTTTATAAGAGCGCTCTCTGTACTGTGATGTGCTCTGAAACCAGATTGAAAATTGTCTAAACACCCCCTGAAGTTTAAGGAGTTGTTAACCTGGTTAAAAACAACTTTTTCAATGATTTTGCCAATGAAAGGGAGATTTGAGATTGGCCTGTAATTGCTCAATAGGGTGTTATCCAGGTTGCTCTTCTTCAAGAGGGGTTTAACAACTGCAGTTTTAAGTGAGGTTGGAAAAATCCCTGATAGAAGTGAAGCATTTACCACTTTTAGAAGATCCATTTCTAAACAGGTAAACACCGTTTTGAAGAATGATGTGGGGAGCGTGTCAAGACTGCAGGTTGATGCTTTCATAGCTTTCACAATCTCTTCTAAGATTTTACCGTTAATTGTCCGACATAATGTCTGATTTTTTAAGTTGTGGTTGAGCTAGTTTGACTTTGACACAATTTGGCTGATTTGATGAGCTGATTGCCTTTCTGATATTATTGATCTTATCAGTGAAGAAATGAGCAAACTCATTACATTTGCTTTCAGAGAGGAGCTCACTTGGAATCCGACTGGGGGGGTTTGTGAGTCTCTCTATCGTTGCAAAGAGTGTACGAGCATTATTTAAGTTGCTGTTTATAAGGCTTGAAAAGAAAGTCTGTCTAGCAGTGTTTAGTTCCATATTAAAAGCATTAAGACTGTCTTTATAGATATTATAATGGACTACTAGTTTCGTCTTTCTCCACATATGCTCAGCTTTTCTGCATTGTCTTTTCATCATTTGTACTTTCGGTGACCTTGTCCAAGATCCCTTTTGCCTGCCAGTCAACTTCTTGACTTAAAAAGGAGCAACGTCATTTATGATTATCTTAATTTTAGAACTAAACAAATCAAGGAGAGCATCAACAGAGTCTGCAGATATGCTTGGTGCTAGCGATATGGCCTTCATAAACTGCTCACTAGTGTTCTCATTAATGCATCTCTTTCTGACAGAGACAGATCTGTCTTTAATAGCTGGAGTGATCAATATATCAAAGAAGATACAGAAATGATCAGATAGTGCCACATCCTTAACAACAGTCGATGAAATGTGTAAACCCTTAGTTATAAGTAGATCAAGGGTGTGTCCACGATTGTGTGTGGGTCCTTGAACATGCTGAGTCAGATCAAAAGTGTTAAAAACAGTCATCAGTTCTTTTACAGCATTGATTTCTGGATTATCAATGTGAATATTAAAATCCCCAGCAATACTAAAATAATGAAATTCAGAGGTTACTATTGATAACAGCTCTGTAAAATCCTCAATAAAAGCTGGAGAATATTTTGGAGGTCTGTAGATAATGATCAGTAAGATGCGTGGAGACCCTTTAAGTGCTATACTCAGATATTCAAAAGACAAATAGTCACCAAATGACACTTGTTTACACTCATAGACATTTTTAAACAGGGCAGCGATGCCTCCACCTCTCCTATTAACTCTGCAAACACTCAAAAAGTCAAAGTTTAAAGGAGCTGCTTCATTCAGAACTGCTGCACTACAACTGTCAAAAACAAATTAAAAAACAAAAACAAATTAACCTTTAAAAACAAATTAGGCAAGTTATTGCATAATGATGGTTTGTTCTGTAGACTATCAAAGAAAATATAGTTTAAATGGGCTAATAATTCTGACCTTAAAATCGCTTTAAAAAAATTAAAACTGCTTTTATTCTAGCCGAAATAAAACAAATAAGGCTTTCTCCAGAAGAAAAAATAATATCAGACGTACTGTGAAAATGTCCTTGCTCTGTTAAACATCATTTGGGAAACATTTAAAAGAGAAAAAAGAAATTCAAAGGGGCTAATAATTCTGACTTCAACTGTATATTTACCCATATAAATGCATATTGAACTGACTTCCTTAGGCCACTGGGTGGCACAGGCCTTTACAGTGTTGCTTGAATCTTTAATTATGCTTGGATTCTGTCATACGAGTGCCAGTTTTCTCTCCACATGATGGGTTTCTTAAATATGACAGCATCTGAAATACAAAATTGAATTTAAAATCATAGTGTGTCTCTTCTATTTATGTTAAAACAAAATTGCGTTTAAAAATTTGATTTAATAACCCATTTAGTATCTACTACATATTAGAAGACAGACGAGAGGTATCCTGAACTCAACAGAGCTGGTCACACTTACCTTTTGTGTAACATAAAAAGGCGAAATAGTTCATGATTAGTATAAAAGAAGTAAAAAATTTGAGGATTAAAATTTATAGACATTTTAAGAAATATATCAATTACCTGCTAAGGGTGTTGACTGTCTGTAGTTGATGGATGAGCTCCAGAAAAACAGCAATGAGGTGTTTTTACATACAGATTCGAAAAACAAATGGCGAGATAATAAAGAATCTTTTCACTGTTTCAGCATTAAAAGGTTTCTTTTTTAGGATGACTCTATTTAAAAGTATACTTTACTAAGTTACTAACTATACTAACTATATACTTGGTTACTAACTTTACTAAGTGTAAGGAACCTTTAAAAACATCTGTATGCATTCCTTCAATCGAATTAACACAAAAGGTTGGTATTGCTCTATTATTTTAACTTTTTAAAACAAAGCTGCTGCTTTTTGGGTAGAAAAAAAGTACAAGCTTAACATTGAAAATAGTTTTTTATTTTTTAAGAAAAAAGTATGATTCCCCAACAAAGGCTTTCAGGATCATGGTATTTCGTACATTTAGGTTTAGTGGAGAAACTCAATTCACAAATTCTGAAACTGTTTTGATTTACTAAAATAAAAAAATAAAAAAGGTCATTCACCCCAGTGGCTTGATTTTCCCAAATTTTACACAAATGTAGGTTGAAACAACTCTCCAATTTTTTAGAGAGTGTTATCAATGTTGTAAACTTAACTATAATAGCATCACAGACCATATTCCTTTTTGGGACATTTTTTACAGAATACATGTTTTCATTATTACCTTGTGTGAATAAATAAAAGGAGTTTTCATAACCCTTTTATGTGAAGTCTGGGGCCCCTAAGTTAAATTTAATGGTTTGGGTATGGATATGAACCCAAAAACTAATAAACGTTCAACAAAGAAAAAATGTTATAATCATCAATAATATTTTAGGTCAATTTTTAAGCTTTAAAGTACTTTTCTTTTCCAGAAAAAAAAATAAAGTTATATTGGATTATACACTTTATTTCATCATTTGAAAATAAGGGTAGATAACTGGAATACAATTTCCCACATGAAAAATTGCTATATAGTAATCCATCGTAAATACAGAGTTTCAGAAGTACTGTAAAACAGGTACTAGGCTGTAGAAATAAACATAATAAACTTTTGGTTTTTAAAAGTTTTGCTACAGTATTTTATTTATTTATTAAACAAACTCACAGCCAGCTGTAGCATAAATTTACAAAGTTATTAATATTGTAATATCCACAGTAAATCACTTAACAGTATGGATTTAAATATTGTACATTACTACAGTAAGTTATTTATTTCATTTTGTTTGAGTTGTGTCAAACAATAAAAATATCTCATTGAAATACCGAATTTAAACTTATTTTTCATTAGTATTTGAAATTGTTTTAGTCTCCTCTAGAAAATTCCAAAGCATTTCCTTCAGAGACATTACAGGCGTCTTGAAAAACAAATATTTGTTATTTAGCATTGTAACAGACTGCCAGAGGGAAGTTATAAACAGGAATTAACTTATGAACTTTTGGTAATTCACATTTGTATAATATTTCATTTTAGCCTCACCTTTTCCACTTATAATTTTGACAACACATCGACAGTCGTGTACGGTTACATTTGAGAGCAGGAGCAACTTCCGCTGACCGGTTTTATTTCCAGGCCGTCGCTGCGTCACTTCCTTCTCTTCTTCAGGACTGTCTTCGCTAGAGACAGGCTGAAACGGTGAGCGGAATAACATCTCAATACATCCTTACACATCATAATTCAAATAAACATTTAAGGTGCTGTGACGTTTTATTTATGCGTGCTGCTTATAAATCCGCCAATATTGTGGCTGTTAAAGCGACAGTATATTGGATATTTATATGAAATATCACACAACGTCCGTACATGGCGGCCATTAGTGTGATGAAGGCGAGTCTCAAAGCTTAAAAATGTAAATTAAAGCTTAGCTCACTTCTCGTTTTCATACTGCAATACACTGTTTTTTCTAAAAAATAATGTATTTACACTGTTAAGCGGTGAATTGTTGAATACTTGTGTGGGTTGCATATGTTTAGCATATGTTACCGTTTCGTCCATAACGTTAGTTTAATTCTCCTTCCTAATAATAAATGATTGGCTGCTTTGAGATAAATTAGTGTTTTGAGCGTTGCAATTTTGCCTTTTGTTGACGCATCGTAGGCTAAAGTTTACTTTTAGCTAACATCGCTAATTTTCCTGATTCAAAAGCGAGATGTGCCGTGTTATATAATAATATATTTATAATATGTAACTTTAACGTAAACTGTGTGACCTTAGAGTATTTGCATTGAAAACTTAAATGTAGGCCCAGTGTCTGTATATTGCATGTCTACATTACAGATAGCTTTAAAGAGTGGTTGTATTAAAAAATACCATGACCTTCATTAAGTGTAATATGTTTATGAAGGATTTATGGATGACTTAATAAAGCTTTCCCTCCCCGTTTTTACTAGAAGGAACCTGATTACAATTTTGTGACTGCTATTTGTCATCAAGTAGTTCCTATGCTAAATGTCATTAATATTATTATTTTGATTTAGGTGAAGTTGGTTTTATATTCACACATGTAGTTTTCTCTTTAATATAACGTTAATTTCATTAAAGTATTCTTTGCATATTTTGAATAGGGAAATCATTAGTTGCAAACATTGTGCAGTCAATTAAATTGTGCCAATGTTGTAAAAGTCATACTTGCATGCTATTTCAGATAGAATATTTAAAGTACAACATAGACATTAGGGCTGCATGATATTGGATAAAAAATTGATATTGCAATGTTTTTTCTCTTTGATTTTATATTGTGATTAGAAATCTTAATATATTATATATTAAAATGAAATTATGAGTGCTTTATGCTTTTATGGAGAGGGTCTAACAGTATTCAGGTACAGAAATTGAATAATCAAATATAAAATAACATTGCATAGACTACATCTTGTAATATATTCAATGAAATGAATGTTTATTAAACTTTATGCTCTATTCGAATGCTTCAAACTCTCTTAAAATGCTCATAGTCGAGTCTTTAAACACTTTGCAGATGATAAACTTTACCTCTATTACGGTTTGATTCTGCAGAGTCTTCGGAAAACTCATGCGTTTCAACCTGTGGTTTCTGGTCAACTATAATCCCAACCTAATTGCGTATCTTGGAATGGGAAATTGCAAACATGCACATTTTTATGTAGATGCTCAATACGTTATGAAGCCCTAATAGGCATCGTGTCACTGTTCAAAAATGAACGAATGTGCGAATATAAAACCAACTTTACCTTAATATTATTTTGTGGAGAGACCGTTACACTGATATTTTATTTGTCTTCTATATATCAGGGTAAAAATGTAATGTATAATAAAATCATAATATAACAGAACCCTATGAAATTGAACCAAAAATTATTACACTTAGTTGTGATACTTTTAACCCCTTTTTTTGTATTTGCCCCATTCATCGAAATTGGATGTCAATTGTTTTCTGCCCGTCATTAATTTCTGCTTGTTCACTCTGTAGGCATCATGGCGGCCCTCAGACCCCTAACCAAACCTAAGATCGTCAAGAAAAGGACCAAGAAGTTCATTAGACATCAGTCTGACCGCTATGTCAAGATCAGGGTAGGCATCTTCCAGGATTATATAAATTTCCATTTAAATGGGGTTCATAGGAAACAATATATCTGTGTATTTTTGATTTTTGTTGGTTGTTACATTTGCTTAAGTTGCATTATTACTTTTATAATTACTGTATTATGCACCGAGAACGTTTGGTCAGCGCATAGGCCCTATTAGCATTGGTCCTTTAATATTATAAAAATAATTATTCTCTAGAATAAATCACACTTTTTGAGGGTCTAAACATGCTCCAACTGCTGTTTTATAAGAAATATTTCTGTGTTAAAAGTTCCAAGTGTATTGTACAGTCAACTTTTGTATAGTAATGTTAGTCATCATTTTAACACCAGGCATGCATTAAAAGGAAATTTTTTGCTTCCCATTTCAAAAACTAAAGGCTGATTTATACTTCTGCGTCAAACACTGGCATATGCTACGGCGCTGACGCATAGCCCTTCGCCGTGGCCATCGCCGTCACTGACGTGCACCTCTCAAAAAATGTAACTACACGTCGCAACAACGCGTAGCGCAAGCTCTGTGATTGGTCGGCTTGGTAGCGCTGACGAGTCTCGGCGGGACTGAGATCCGCGCGAATGGCGCAAGCCCGATGTAGTGATTGTTTACAAGTGTGGAGTCCCGTGAAGGAGCTCCGGATGGAAAGTTGTGTTTTGTGTTTACCTCATAGTTAAAGTTGTTGCACGTCCGCCGGTTTCTGCCTCAAAATGAGCGAGTTTGAGTCACTTGTACAACCAGGAAGTGTTCAGGAAACGCAAAACAGAAGCGAAGAAACTCGACATAGAGGAACATTTACACCTCACTGCCAACTAGCATTTTGTAAGTGTTAATGCAGACCAACAGAGACAGCGCGCAGAAGTATAAATGCACAGCTGCGCGCGTTGCATGCGCCGTGAGTTACGCCGGTCACTTGACGCAGAAGTATAAACCAGGCTTAATGCAGAGCAACGTACCGTGATGTATAGAGGAATGAAAATATGGAATGAATTGCCATCAGACATTACATGCTTTGTAACAAGTAAAATGAGGTTTAAAAAATCATTTAAAAAATATTTAATGGAACAATATTAAGTGGATTGTTGATTTGGATGTTATGTATGAATTTTGTATTTTAATGTTTTTATTAGTCTTTGTTGTTGTGTATTAATGTAATTTTGTGTTATGTTCGATGGACCCCAGGAAGAATAGCCACTACCTTGGTAGTGGCTAATGGGGATCCAGATAAATAAATAAAAAAAATAAAAAACTCAGACTTTGCTCAAATGCCAGAAGTGAAGAACATTTACATTTTATGGGTTTCAGAAGTGGGTGTGGCAAAATGGCTCGACAGCGCCATGTATGCACATTTGACTGAGTTTTTTTATTAGCTTAAATTATTATTTGCGACAAATTATTTGTTCATTCAAGGGCAACGGGTGGCGGTAAGCCTGAGTGCAAAGTCCTTTCCATTGCTGATTTAATTATTAGAAGTTGTACTTTTTAAATATGATGGGCATTTACTTTTCATAACTATTATGCAGTAGACCACAACAGTCTTTTTGATATTTACTATTTGCTGATGAATTTTAATAGTCAGACCTGTTCTGATCACTGAAGTTAATTAACAGCATTTTTGATTTGTTTTGATGAACCCATCTGTTTGCATTAATGTAACTTAAAAAAAAAACTTAAATAGCTAAATTTATTGGGATCATTATAAATCAAATTGGCATTTAATGAATTTTTAGTCCTCTCCTCTCCCTTATTTAAATGGGTAGACAGCCAAAATGAAAATTGCCATTTAATCACACTCCACTTGATCCAAACTTGTCCACAAAGCATCTTCTGAAATTGGAAACATGTAGCCATTTACAACCATAGTGGTGCATAAAATACTACTAAAGACATTGGTTACGGGTTCCCAGTTGTTAAAAATGAGTCTAACATGTTTATAACAAGTAAAGGAAAAGTAATTGTTGACCATTTTATTTTTGGGTGAACTGTCACTTTAAATTTGATTGTTTTGTTCCTTGGTATGATTTTCATATTACATTTTGCTTCAAATCAAGGATTGTAATGTTGAATTTGTCTTATCTGGTTGGGTTGGTTTATGACTTGCAAGAAAATAAATTTTTATCGCAAACCAAAATAAGAAACTTAAATGAATAATCTCTCATCAGGCAAACTGGAGAAAACCCAGAGGTATTGACAACAGAGTGCGCAGACGCTTCAAGGGTCAGATGTTGATGCCCAACATTGGTTATGGAAGCAACAGGAAGACCAAACACATGCTGCCCTCTGGATTCAAGAAGTTCCTGGTCCACAATGTCAAGGAACTCGAAGTCCTCATGATGAGCAACAAGTAAGAGCCAAAATAGTCAGTAGTAGAGAAGTGAATGTGATTTGTGTTTGACTAACAGCTTTTAAATCTTTCAATTGGGTGCTTCTGATAACACATAACTGTGCTATTATCTCTGTGGTCGTACCTGCTGAATTCTCCATATTCATCCCAGGTGTAGAATTCAGAGAAATAGCATTGCAGAGGAAGTGCCCATTCCACCGCTAACTCTGTCCGTAGTCAGCTGGTGGAAGATAATCTGCTACAAGTGACTAGCGCTTGTATCCGGGTGTTCCTCCTAGATCCTAAAGTTTGTGTAATGAAGATTCTTGGGTCTCCTTTTGCTTTTAAAGAAGTTGTGTACTTGTTGTTATTTGATACTTGATCGGTATAAAAATGCATGCGAGACCTGTGGTACGCAACACTTTAGTGTTGGGGTTATGATGATTTATTAGTCAGAAACTGAGAATGAGTGATAACCTAAAACTTTTGTTTCTCTGCAGGAGTCATTGTGCAGAGATCGCTCACAACGTGTCCTCAAAGAACAGAAAGCTCATCGTTGAACGGGCCGCACAGCTGGCAATCAAGGTCACAAACCCCAACGCCAGACTCCGCAGCGAGGAGAACGAATAATCTGGATATCTTGTTGTCTTTTCAATAAAGTGTAAAATGTTAAAAAAAAAAAAAAACAATTGTTCAAGTGTTCGGTCTCATTTTTCTGACCTCATCTAGGCTCAAATCAGATTTTTAACACATCCTTAAATGCAATAATTACGGTAAAACAGTAGTGAAGTGGTTAAGTACACATTGATTTAATTTTTGTGATATGATCATTTTAGCATGTTCAGCATAACTTTGTTTCTGTACTTTAATGTTTTTTCAGTGTCAAGAACTTTTGTGAGGCATTTTTGTGTTCTTTGAACATTTTTAGCACTAATTTGCAAAAAAACTTATGCATCTACACCTATTGTTGAAATTGCTTTATGAAAGCCCAATTATTTTTTTATTATATAAAAGTTAATGTTTCTGCAATTCAGTTTCGTTATTTTTTTTAAAAAATTTTTTTATTTTTTTTAATGAATTGTAAATTAATTAGTTCACCCAACAATTAAAATTGTTATTTACCTTTATTTGTTCAAAAACTATTTGATTTGTTTGACATATTTTGGAAAATGTCAAATATGGGCACTCATAGAGCATAATTTATTTTCAAGTGGAAATTCAATTATTTTTTTTTTTCAAACAGTATTTTTTACTAAAGAACTTGTGCGGTCAGCAAGTAGCATTTTTGAAAGAAGTTATGTTTTTAATGTGGATTAATACCACACAAAGGACCATAAATTAGGAGTTTTTTTGTGAACTAATCCTAAAGTGTTCTAATAATTCCAAATTATTTAATATTGCTTGTTCTTTGTGTCCTTTCATTTATATATATATATATATATATATATATATATATATATATATATATATAAATTGAGCTCAAATATGAAAATAGTTAACAGATTTTGAAAACCACCTCGTCTAAAATGTTGTTTCTATAGAAAGAGGCTTCAAGCTTTAAAAGCAGGTTGTCTGCAGGATCTTGAGCCCTTAATTTCAAAAACAAAATTTTAGGCCTTAAAATATTAAATTCACTGAAATCCTGTATTGTAGGTCCTAAATCATTGTAAATAGGTTTTAATTTTCCCTTGTTTATGTAAAGCTCCCCAACTGATCCAACACACAATCACCAACAATACATCTCAATAACTCCGCAAAACTATAATATTATAACAATATGTAGTCTATATGTTTAGTTTTAATATATATTTAGGATTAAAAATGTCATATATATATATATATATTTATATATATATATTTATATATATATATATATATATATATATATATATATATATATATATATATATATAAATATGTATACATGCTTAGACACATTATTTAAAATAAGTGGCTGATAAATAGCTAATTAGAATTTGTTTTTTGATAAGGCAATTACTTTTTTTTGCTGTGCCATTAAAAATATCTTAAAAAGTCAAAAATTTGATTTGGTGAAACATGCAGAAACCCTCAAAAGTCAGTTTTTATTTCCACAACAACAAAACTAGTCCATTGTGGGTTTTTATAACTACAAACCATGATATAATCCACACCTGGTCGATCCTAACTGGTGTCCATTGATTCCACAGCTCCTGCTAAGGGGTCTCCTTGAAGGCTCTCGAAGATAGTGGCCATCTCTGCATTGCTTCTGATCTGATTGGCGAAGTCTGCCATGGCAGGGCTTTTTTCCACTTCACTGATGGACAGCAGAGCGGCGACAGCACGCATGGCAGATCTCCTCAATTCTTCCTGCTTCTCAAATTCTTGCTTCACTGAACCGGCCTTTACCTTTGTATTACAAAAAGTAGGTTGTTGTTTACTAAGAAAAGATAATGTTACATCTTTACAGATACAAAACTGCTTTCAAGTTAAAGGCCAAAAATGAAAATGACCTCGTTCTCCAAGTTGGTTTAAAGTTTAAACCTTTCCAAGTTTCTTTCTTCTGCTGAACACAAAATAAATATAGTTTGACTGTTGCTGGGACACATGGACTTCCATAATTGGAAAATAAAATACTATGGAAGTCAAAGAATTTTAGCAACTAGCATTTTTCAAAAATTCTTTCGTGTTCAGCTGAAGAAACTCGATGTTTGAAGAAGTGAAGGGTAAGTAAATAATGACTGAATTATCATTTTTGGCTAAGCAATCCCTTTAAGTTTTACCTTTGTAGTGCAAGTAGCTTTTAGTGGCTCCACTAATCTTTCCAGCCTTTGTACGACAGCAGTTGGACACAATTTCGAAAGTCTTGCGAGCATAATGAAGGTCAGCATCTAAAACAAAACAAGTTCTAAGTTATTTTGTAATGTATTGGACAAAGTTAGCATAAAGCACTTTCATAAAGAAAACACACTTTAATATCGTAGTGGTCTTTCAGGCCTTCCTCAACATGGTTCAGAAATTCAAAGATGTCCAAACAGTCCAGGCAGCTGTCCAGCAGAGTGTACATGCATTCAAACGCCGCTTTACGGACGTCCAACCCATCATCTACTGTGTGCTTGAAGGGACCCATCTCAACCTGAGACATGATTTCAAATGCATAGATTTATGTACAACATTCTAGTTAGTTTCACAAATATATATATATATATATATATATATATATATATATATATATATATATATATATATATATATATATATATATATATATATATATATATATATATATATATATATATATATATATATATATATATATATATATATATATATATATATATATATATATATATATATATATATATATATATATATATATATATATATATATATATATATATATATATATATATATATATATATATATATATATATATATATTATACAGTTGAAATCAAAATTATTAGCCCCCTTCTATTTTTTTCTTCTTTTTTTAAAATATTTTCCAAATAGTGTTTAACAGAGCAAGGAAATTTTCACAGTATGTCTGATAATATTTTGTCGTCTGGATAAAGTCTTATTTGTTTTATTTCCGCTAGAATAAAAGCAGTTATTAATTTTTTAAACACCATTTTAGGGACAAAATTATTAGCCCCTTTAAGCTATATTTTTTCTTGATAACCTATAGAACAAACCATTGTTATACAATAAATTGCCTGATTACCCTAACCTGCCTAGTTAGCCTAATTAACCTAGTTAAGCCTTTAAATGTCACTTTAAGCTGTATAGAAGTATCTATAAAATATCTAGTAAAATATTATTTACTGTCATCATGGTAAAGAGAAAATAAATCCGTTATTAGAGATAAGTTATTAAAACTATTATGATTAGAAATGTGTTGAAAAAATCTTCCCTCCGTTAAACAGAAAAATGGGGAAAAAATAAACAAGCAGTCTAATAATTCAAGGGGGGCTAATAATTCTGACTTCAACTGTATATGTTTAGATATTAATGATTTTTACACACCCTTTGTTTCACCCTTCATGTTTTGGAGGGTATGTGCTAAAAATATACAAAATTATCTCTGTTAATGTGGTTTCCAAGTGTACACCAAAAGCAACAACAACAACAAAAATGCTGTTGGGCATGTCACTTTGTATAGAAACACTATAAGCCTATGGACATAAGGTCCACCGTTGTTATTTTGCTTCCCAAGTATCTATCCATAGACCATACTTGTAATATCAAATGCATTACATTTACAAAAGCTTTTTTTTTTTTGAAAGTTGAGAAAGACAAGTGTTTTCAAAATTTTGTGTTTTAAGGCCCCTAAACCCATGGTGTGTAAAAGTTTGTTTGCATAAAAGTTTTCAGTGTAAATGCCACCCTAACGTTCATAAATTGTACCTCTCGAACGAGGTCTTTCCTGATCTGCGTCTCATTGTATAGATGTGGAAGGAGTGATGTCAAAAGTCCACGAATTAAGGAAGGTTTATTGTGGGCAGCAGAATTCAACATAACTAAAGCCACTCGCCGAACATTGAGGTCAGGATCCTGGAGTGTTTTCAGAAAATCACCTAAGAGCAGAATTACAAAGTAGGTCATTAATTCAAAGCAATGTATTATCTTAAGAAACGCACAGAGGAGCATATTGAGTCAAATAAAGCCTAATTACCAATGCATCCTTTGAGGAGTGAGTCAATAGGCATAGGGTGGTCAACAATGGTGAACTTTACTGCAGTTACAACAGTACTGCGTGAAAGAGGGGACCCTGAAAAAAAAAGCAAATATTTACCTGGCTTTAGTCTAGATTTGTGCTGCCCGAATATGCATATAAAAATTGGATTTTAAAAACCACTACAGGTGTAAAACTATTCTGTTTTCTACTGAGCAACACAGCTAGACACCTACTGTCCATAAAATTATTTCAACCTGCTTTAACACAGCTACAAATATGATTGTTCAAGTCATCCTGGAGATTTTTCTTAGCTGGTTCAGGTGGGTTTGATTAGATTTTAGAGATTAAATCAGCAGAAGACCCTCTAAAAGACCTATGGTGTGAAGTCAGGGTAACTCACCTGAGGACAGTTGTTTCTTTAGCCTTGGCAGAAGTTCAGATGGGCTGACCAATGTGAGTTTTCCCAGACATTCGGCTACAATATTGCGAGTACCCTCCTCTGCACATTCACAGTGCTTGAACAGCAGAGCCCAGATGTTTTCCACATGAGGTTTGAGACTTTCGGCTGACAGAGCGCTGATCATCTCCTTGAGGGAGTGCAGAAGCAGGTACTGTCTCTTCTGCTGGCTGCCTATCTCTTTGAGCATAAACGGAAGATATTCCCCTAAGTTTCCAACACAAATATTTCCCAGGGCGAAAGATGCTGCAGACTTGACTTCTTCGCTAGGAGAACCGAATGCTTCCATTATGACTCCCTTCAACTCCTTCTGCCCTTCAAAATTCATAAAACGTCCGATTTCCCCAAGACAAAGCAATGAAAGGATCCTCACAGGCTCTGATGATTTGGGGTTTTTGACATCCTGGATTAAGTTAGAGACCAATCCAGAAGCTTCTTTAGGACAGACCGAAGACAACGCTGCTACACATTTGGCCACCGAGTAGTAGGACTGTTTATGCACAGACATGGAGTCAGCCGACTTTGAATCATAAAAAGGCCCCCTCAAAGCTTTCAGAAGATCACTGTATCCCATGTTGTTAGCCTTTGTTGCTACAAGAACCTGGAAGAATTGTAGGATTGAATTAAGAGCACCTCCTTGTAGCAGTGGAGAATGGACTAAGTTAAGCACTTCAGGTAAGATTGTACCCCCAATCTTGCTCAGAGAGGAGGGGCAAACTTTGGCCATACAGGTGATCAGGTTTATGGCTACCTGTGAGATATGCATATCATTCTCCTGAATCAAAGCAGGCACCTCACTCAGTATGGACTCTATCAATGGGGGCTTAAAGCTGTCGCTGTAGTTTGTGACTATCACGTTTAGGACTGTTATTGTATTCAATTTGAGGACTCGCTGGTTTTTCCGCAAGAAGGACCCAAGCACTGGAATCCCCTCAGTCAAAATGGGTCTCAGGTCAATTTTAAGTTGCGAGGACGCTACAAGAGTCAAGGTCTTTACTGCGATAAGCCTGGTGATTTCATTTTTAAGCCTTTCCAGAAATATCTGCAAGGTAGGCTGTAAGTCAGCACCAAGGTGGTCGCCCAGATGACTCAAGATGTGGCCCATGCAGAAAATGGCCCGCTCTTTCACCTCTTGGTCAATGTCAGCTGCCTTCAACCTCTTTGAGGTACAAGCAAATATGTTCTTCACGTAAGGCTTAGCATCAAAAGAGACAGGCTTCTCCAGTGGCCGTATTAGTTTCACAATCTGCTGGGTGACTTGAAGAGCCTCGGATGTGATTTTGTAAAATGGATCTTCAACACATTGAATCACTGGTGTTAAGATGACACTAATGTGTGGGTGGAAGACTTCTGGGTTGTGGCTACTCAAGAGGACATTGAGGAAAGAAAGGGCATCAATCTTCATATTTGAGGAGGATGACTTGTCTGTCAAGGAGTAGATAATACCTGGGGAAAGATAAAGCCTGATATGAATGTATGTATTCAAACAATCAATGTGCCACAAAACTGGATAAAAAAGCACACAAAAGGTCCAAAGGCAGCTTGATAAACTTTGACGTACCTGGTTATAATAAAGTATCAGGCATTAATTTATTAATCCAAACTCTTTTTCATAAATTACTCTGAGGATGGTGGACAGAATTGGGATGTTTGCTAACAGTTTACCACTGCCATCCTTTTACTCCAAATGAAATAAAACTTGTGAGTAAAATAGGGTCATGTAGGTTACTCATCATTCTTGCCCAGTATAAATAGTATCACCATTTATAATGGGTTCTATAGGGTTTTACCATGACACACGACTTGCTTCTTGTTTATTCATTCATTAATTTTCTTGTCGGCTTGGCCTCTTTATTAATCTGGAGTCGCCACAGCGGAATGAACCGCCAACTTATCCAGCACGTTTTTACACAGCGGATGCCCTTCCAGCCGCAACCCATCTCTGGGAAACATCCACACACACACACACACTACGGACAATTTAGCCTACCCAATTCACCTGTAACGCATGTCTTTGGACTGTGGGGGAATCTGGAGCTCCCGGAGGAAACCCACGCGAACGCAGGGAGAACATGCAAACTCCACACAGAAACGCCAACTGAGTCGAGGTTTGCAGCAACCCAGCGACCTTGTTGCTGTGAGGCGACAGCACTACCCACTATCTCGGTTGTTAGTATAGCATTTTATACTAAATGTTGTTTAGCCTGACCTGGAATCAGGGCTGGTATGTGCTCTCCTAGTTCACCAGGCAATACGTTGGCCATCTCTGTCAGAAGACTAAAACAGCCTTGCCTACATCTCATGCTTTTCTCCTTTAGCTGTCGGTGTAAGGCTTTTACTATTGTCGGTACCTGTAAAAGCAGAACTGTTTTTAGAATATATGCACAAGATGCTTCAGGTAGGTTTGGTAATATCCACAAAGCAGGAGTACCTGCTTCTTTAAAAGAGTGACCGCTGGCTCCTCTTTAGACTCTGTGTCCAAAGTGGGACCGTGAGGATGTCTGGTCTGTCTGAGCAAGGCCACAAATGCTGAGAAAATGTCTGTCTTAACATTCTCCTCACGTTCTTTGAAGCGGGACACCAATGTCGGGCCTACGGATCCATAGAGCTCCACCAGCAGATCCCTTCGGCTGCTGATTATCGCCTCCAAGCATTTTACAGAGGAACGCCGCACCTTCCAGCTCATGTCATCATCGTCACTGTATTCATCGTCAGACTCTATAGGTTAAAAGGGTGTTGACTGTGAAAAACATGCTGAGAGCTACACTGCCATCTGCGTTTTCTCATAGCTATAGAAAAAACAGGCCAGGACACACCAAGCCATCAGTTGGCCATGGCTTTGTTGGACCATCAGTCCGAGTCAGTCTGGCTAGTTGGTTTGGTGCAGAGGTCACCAATCCTGCTCCTGGAGAGCTACCTTTTCTGCAGAAATCAGCTCGAAGTTTGATCAAACACACCTGAACCAATTATTAGAACCGGAAGCAGCACTTGTGCTTGGTCAGGGTTGCAACTGAAATGAGCAGGAAGGTAGCTCTCTGGGAACAGGGTTTGTGACCCTTGTTTGGTTTGTTCCACCTTTCGTCCTGATTAAACATGTCGAATTGGCATTGGGCTGTTGTCTGTTAAGAGAGTGCTCTAACTGGTTATTCAGCAACGAATCAGTGAAGTAGCAAGTTAACAATTCAAGTCAAGAAGAAACACAAAAAGACTATAATTTTGAAACATTTCTCAAATATTTGCAAATGATATGGATTATTAGATTATCAGATGTATTTTCAGGAGCAAATTCCTCAATGGCCAATGACAATTACTGTGATAATAGAACTGAATGCTACTTTGTTTACGATTTGCAAGCTTAAGTCGGATATTCCGAGTTTGCCGATCTGAACAAGAAAACATAAACTGAAAACAGAAAACAGTTGGGTTTCGTTGGCTCTAGATCAGGGGTGTCAAACTCGATCCCTGGAGGGCCGAAGCCCTGCACAGTTTAGTTCCAACCCTGCTCCAACACACTTACCTGTAGGTTTCAAACAAGCCTGAAGGACTCAATTAGTTTGATCAGGTGTGTTTAATTAGGGTTGGAACTAAACTGTGCAGAGCTGCGGCCCTTTTGGAACTGAATTTGACACCTGTGATCTAGATGTTTGGTGTCAGCTTGGTGTGTAGCGGCCTTTATATGTACCATTGGCAATAATTGGTAATGAATGTTAAACTGTAGCATCGTAAAATGATAGTCAGATTTATCACCCTGATCTTCATCCTCTCTATCCTCAATGTCCATACTGTCATCCTCATCATCGTCAGCATCATAGTTGTAATTGGGGTCGTAGGAGATGTACTTTAAACACAGCTTGATAATTGTTGGGATGTGAGGGGACATTTCCTTTGAACATCTGTCAGAAAAAATGAAAACATAAAACTAATATATTTATTTCACAATTTGTGACATACAGTAGTGGCCAAAAGTGATGTCAAGTTTAGACAAATTGATGTATTTGTCCTTTATCAAATATTGGTTTTACACTGTGTAGCTGCGCTTGGAGAATGTAACGCTATAATTTATGTGCTACAAATTTCAATTCTTATCATCTAGTGATAATACCTGAAAACTTGCTTAATGAGAAATGTAGTGGAGAATCAATGAAATACTGATAACTGATTATGTTTTAAATGCTGTATTATTTATTTATTAAAGTCATTTTTTCCTTCAAAGCCTTTTCCTTTCTTTATTTGCATAGTGAAAAAAACCCATATTCTGTAATTACTGTTCACAATTAAGTTTGATAATTAAATACCTCTACAAAGTTTTACTGGTATATCACATTTAACAAAACATAACAAAATAAAATAATTATAACGACTAAGCCATAGTACCAGGGTTCCATTTTACATTTCAGAGTGTAATGGCTTGTAATTCTGCACTCATATAAATTATGAAAAAATATTTTGTGACATCTCAAATTAAACAAAGCATACTATGAAACAATAAACCTTTTTGTTTTGTCCATATGATATACAGTAGTCAAACATTTCATCAAAGTTGTCCAAAAACTTCTTATGTTCACTACTGTATATCGTATTGCATAAAGCTATATAAAACTAATAATGCTATATATAAATGAGCAAAATTGTGAAATATGCTAAAAGATATTTTCAATCTAGATCAGGGGTGTCAAACTCAATTCCTGGAGGGCCGAAGCCCTGCACAGTTTAGTTCCAACCCTGCTCCAACACACTTAACTGTAGGTTTCAAACGAGCCTGAAGGACTCAATTAGTTTGATCAGGTGTGTTTAATTAGGGTTGGAAATTAACTGTGCAGAACTGCGGCCCTTTTGGAACTGAGTTTGACACCTGTGATCTAAATAATAAACAAAAATATATGTATAAAATGTAAATGTAAACTAAAACGGTGTAAAAAAGTAATTACAACTGAAAACACATAAAAAAAACATTAATATTATAAAGCATAGTGTGATGTTTAAAATGTAGAAAGGTTTTAGGTCAAGTAATATAGAAATAGTTGTACCTGCTAACAAAAGCTTCAAACGCTTGAAAGCAGAACTCGCGTAGCTCATCATCCTCCACATTACAAAACTTCACCACCATGGGCACAATCTTCTCCAGGTGTTCACCTTCAGACCATCAAACACTATTAATACACTTTCCAAAGCATAATATTATAAATCTCCAAAATAAATTTTAACTTATTTGCATTACATTGTTGATTTTGCCAGCTAGTAGGAACTGTATGAATAAACCTCGATCATAGGTTCAAATTTGGTTTGAACCAGGGCAAGTAACACTTGAGCAGTTTCAATGGTGCCATGACCCAGATTTAGGATGGGGTGAATGCAGTGCTTAATTTGTAAATGGATAATTTCCAGAACAAAAAAATTAATTAAAGGAAAGGAAAAAAAAAAGTTACCGTGATTGACGTCCACCACACACTTTCAGTTTTTCAGGAACATGGCGTTACTAAGCATTTGAGCTGAAACTTCCCATTTACACTCTAGAGACATCAGAGACTAAGAGTGCTTTCACACTAGCACTTTTGGTCCGCACCGGGGTTCGTTTGACGTCATAGTACGGTACGTTTAGCTAGTGTGAACATGCCTTCTGAACTCAGGTGCACACCCGTGAACCGTACCCGAGTCCGCCTGAAAGAGGTGGTCTGGGGTACGATTCATGCGAACTCTGGTACTCTGGTTATCTTCTGATGTGAATGCAATCGTACCAAATCACGGAAGTGAACCGCCAACTGTACAACAAACTATCGTTGTCATAACATTCGTTCGTGTTTGTGTGTGTCAAGTTTCGTACCTAGGTGACACGCGCAGGACTGAGCCAGGGCAAACGCAGTGATACACGGTGATGTCTGCTTGTCTCCTCCAAAAAACAGCTTCTGCAGACACTGTGTGATGTTCTGAATGTTTATAATAAGTTTGCTACAGATGGACGCGAGTCGCTATCTACATGTCCGAAACCAAAAGCTTCAGTTAAAGCAGAATGACCGCGATGTGCGGAAGTCTTTCCATTTTTGCGCTTGCTTTCGTGACCGTCACCTAGCAACTGCCGTAAACGAAAAGCAGCTCGATGACGCAAGCGTACCGGGGTTCAGAAGGAAAAAAGACAGTGTGAACACAAACCAACTGAGGATGTGGCAGGGGGGAGACAATCGAACTTGGGTACGATCCAGGCAAATGAACCAAGTGTAAAAGCACCCTTATTTTACATCTTGTAAAAAGGAGAATAATAGGTCTCCTTTGAAGGTACATATTAGTAACTAAAGGGTCTATATCATAGGTTTTAAACACGATTCCTGGAGGGCCAGAGCTCTGCACAGTTTTGCTCCAGCCCTAATCAAACACAGCTGATCCAACTAATCAAGGTTATCTAAGTGCCATTGATGTAATGCAAGTTAGCTAGTTGGAGCACTGAAGGTAAACTTCACTATCTGGGGTGCAGAACTGGAAGAGCTCAACAAATCCCTACATTACCTCAACATTGTCAGCCAGAGTTCTAGCAGAAACATAAAAATCAGCACTTACCAATCCGGTGTCCTCCTTGTCTGCTGATGGTGGCCAGGCATTGGATGTAAGTGCGGACATTGGCAGTTGGGGGTCCACGGGACAGTTCGCCCATGAGGTGCTCAGTGAGCTGGGTGAACAGAGCAGGACTACAGCTGGGCACCAGGTGACCCAGAGCAATAATGGAGCGTTTCCTTACGGCCATACGAGAACTCATTAGTTGAGCGAGAAGACTTGTCAGGATGGACTGATGGAAACTCACCAGAGCAGTGCTCAACCTGACAAAAAAGCATAAGGATGATACATAAATAAACTTTTCTCGTGCAAGTCCAAGACATTTGGACCAACCTGCTGAGCATATCGGAGAGAATATCCAAAGCCTCCAGCTGAATGGACACATCATCTTGCATTCCCATTGCTCCAATCAACTGGGATGTGATCTTTCGGCATACACTGACTGTAAGGCTCAAACCTTGAATATAAGACAACAACTGTAAGAAAAAATGAACTGAATAGTTAGATATCTCTATTAAATGACCGTGATACCTGTTGATGAAGGTGGCAGTTCAGCAATGACAGTTTTCAGGCCCATGCTGGAAATGTCCCTCAGTTGCTCCTTGTTGGACATCATGTTTGAACAAAGAGTCTCCACCATTGTCTCCACCTGACACTCCTTTACTTTTCCCACCAAAGGACCAAGACTGCATAAACCAAAAATAATCATAATCACAAATTATAATGGAAAAGACATGATGGAAGAGGATGAGTTCAAGAGTACCATTTGACAGCCAGATTCTGCACTTCTCCGTTTTTGTCCTCCAGAAGTTTGAGCAACATAGTCACGACTTTCCTCTCGCTCTCCTCGTCCAGTTTGATCGAATCCTTTTGCAGCTCCATCATCAGGTCATTGGCTGCCATGAACCTTTAACCATAATCTTCATCATTTTTTATTTCATAACTACTTCACTTCATGCTGTGGTAACTACAGTGCCAAATGATTGAAATGGGAAATTTCTCATATGCCTTTGTTTGTAAAGTAGTCCTGAAAAATCTTCATTTAATGGGCCAGATGGACATTCGCCTTACCCCTTCATCTCCAAGCAAACAGAATTGGGACCCCCCTATCCTTTGATGTGAACGCACATACCGAGGGATAAGATAAATGGAAGAGCTAAGAGGTAAAATTAGGATTGGGCCTAAAACACATTCCCTTTTTATGGTAAATGCTAACAAAATCATACAATTTTTTGAAGCAGCAAATATGAAACTCTTTCTTTATTTCTTGTCTTTTTTCTATAAAAAAAATTATGGTAGTCTCTATTAATCTGGGGTCGCCACAGCAGAATGAACTGCCAACTTATCCAGCAAATGTTTTATGCAGTGGATGCCCTTCCAGCTGTAACCCATCACTAGAAAACATCCATACACACTCAAATACAACAAACAATTTAGCTTATCACCTATACCGCATGTCTTTGGACTTGTGGGGGAAACCAGAGCACCTGGAGGAAACATTCGTGAACATAGAACTCCACACAGAAATGCCAACTGACACTGCCAAGGCTCGAACCAGCAACTTTCTTCCTATGAGGCGATTGTGCTACCCACTGTGCCTTTTGTTTTTCTTCAGAGGCCTTTACATAGGGCTGGGCGATTTTTCAGATTTTTTCGATTAATTCGAATTTACGTTTAAATTAAAAAAAAATAAATAAATAAAAAAAATAAATAAATTAAAAAAAAAAAAAAAAAAAAAAAATATATATATATATATATATATATATATATATATATATATATATATATATATAATACATTATAATGGCACCAATGCGCTTTGGTTCACTCTATGAAGCAGGAAGCACACCAGAAGTGCCTCTCGGAGCCGCGCCGCGCAGCACCACGCAGCGCCTTGGATTTTAGAATTCTAAACAGATTTCTATACACAAACCGGCGCCGCCCAGCCACGATTCACGAAGCAGTTCATATTTCAGCCGTGCCACAGAGTGTCATCTGATTAGTTTCATGTTAAATATCATGAGAATGTGTGCGTTTGGTGTGTGATGGTTTAAACTGTCATGTGCGCGCCGTGTCGCGCGCTTCTGGTGTACGACCTGCTTGACTGCCTGTTAAAGCGTGAAGTCATGTAGGATTTTACTTGTTGCATTAGTCTGAGTCACGTCTGTGTGTATTGTCAAAACATTCCCTCATCAAGTCGACTAACTCGATCTCAACATGTATGAAGGACGTAAAAGCCTGCCATGTGAAAAACCGCGCTGATCTTTTGGTTTGAACACGAGTAGAGGTGAGGGACTGTAGCAGTGAAAATGAAAGTACCCGGCCCCATGACGTCATTTAGCGGACCTAGTTGAAAACCAGACAAATCAGGCAGCATAATACAGAGAGTGCTGCAAACCGCATCAAATGATCGGTATTTAAAAGGGGAAAAAATAAAAATAGATTAAATATATTATTTTATATTAGACACACATATGGTGCTTGTATTTGCTCCTGCTATACGTCCACAACTTCACACATTGGGTTAAATTAGGCTTTACAGTTTCCATGTTCAGTCCTTTTTCTTCCACTGTAAAAAGGCAGCAGCATTACAACCTGTCATTTAATCAGAAGACAAAGTCAAAGCCGAGCTGACAGCCAATCTTTCCCAGGCTCAGCAAAACTTGCAAAAAATACCTCTGTATTCCTGCAACTGCAATATTTACACAAATATTTCTTATTCAAATCTTCAGCACCACTATTTAACTCGTGAATTTGTTTTACATTTTTTTCACACCTTGATTGAGTTTTGTATGACATGGCCATTAAAAATACAATGCTCCTTAACCAGATGGTTTTTCAAGTTACTTTTAAAGTGAATGTTACTTCAGTCATGTTGTTGAGTCATTTTTTGAGAAAACTAGTAACACAATAAAAAAAATTAAATAAAAAAATCTAAATCGTGAATCGGTCAAACTTTATAAAAAACCTAGATTTTTTTTTTTTTTTTTTTTGGCCAAATCGCCCAGCCCTACCTTTACATAAAAAAAAAAAAAATCTGCCTTTAGGCTTTCAAAGACACCTAAGGAGATCAGGGCAGGTTTCCTTTTTAAATGTTGCAAGCATACAATGGTAATGTTTTATTTATTTATTTATTTATTTGCTACACTTATTATAGTCTAAGTCTTACCATGGTATTTGAGGTATACACAACCAGGGAAAAGTCTTGACAGCTATCCCAGTTGTAAGTGTAAAACATAATAACTTGACTTCTTGTTGATCATTTTGAAAAGTGGCAGAAGGTAGATTTTTTTCGGCTGAATCATCTGTTGAACTGCATCCCAATCATCACAAATACTGCAGAAGACCTATTGGAGCCCACATGGGCCCAAGATTCTCATAGAAAGCAGTCAATTTCGATGAAGGAAAAATCATCGTTTGGGGTTACATTCAGTATGGGGGCATTCGAGAGATCTGCAGAGTGGATGGCAACATTAACAGCCTGAGATATCAAGACATTTGTGTCGCCCATTACATTACAAACCACAGGAGAGGGCAAATTCTTCAGCAGGATAGCGCTGCTTCATGTACTCCACATCAAAGTTCCTGAAAGCTAAGAAGATCAGGGTCCTCCAGGATTGGCCATACCAGTCACTAGACATAAACAATATTGAGCATGTCTGGGGTAAGATGAAGGAGAAGGCATTGAAGATGAATCCAAAGCATCTTGATGAACTCTGGGATTTCTGCAAGAACGCTTTCTTTGCCATTCCAGATGACTTTATTAATAAGTTATTACAGTCATTACAGAGGTGTATGGATGCAGTTTCCGAAGCACATGGGAATCATGCACAATATTAATTCTTTTTTCCACTGCACTACGACTTTATATTCTGTACTTTACATTATTTCTGTTAAGTAAAATACTTTTGGCTTAGAAAAGTCAGACCTTACTGTCCAAATTAAATAAATAAAAAATCAAGGCATGATCATATTTGATTTTGGTAAAATAAGCGTAATCTAGAGGCATTTTCCTTTCATATAAGCCACTTCTGGTACCAAATAGACAACTAGAAGTCAAGTTATTATTTGTTGTTCCTACAAATCGGATAGACAAGACTTTTTTCAGTGTGTAATTGTATGGTGACAGGGTACACACACACACACACAAAACATGATTGCTACACCTTTAATTTCTTATAAAAATTAATCATGGTTTATATTAAATCTTGTTTTGTGTGTGTTTGTACGAAAAAAAAGACAAATTCTTACATTTAAATACTTGAGATTCTGTTTAGTCGTCAACAGTAAAATAAAAAAGTAATATAACAGTGCACACTTCATGCAAGCCAGACCATTTATAGCATGTCAACAATATCTAGTTTTACAGTAACAAAACAAGTAACGTTAGGCTTGTCCCTGTTTATTCCACTTCTCTTTTTTCAAAGAGTTTTAAAGTTTTGTGTAAGTTAAATCTTTAAAAAAATCAAGTTTTACATAAAACTCCCGGTAACAGCTTTGTCATTGGCCTATTTCTGTAAACATTAGTCATGAGTCTGAAACATGCGTCTCTAAAATACTCTTACCTAAAGTCTTTGTCAGTGGATGTCATTTTTTCCAACAGATTGGAAATATAAAAAGTAACGTTCGACATCTTGACGGTTAAAAGTACAGCGCTTAATGGACGATGCAAAATAAATAATGCCGAAAGTTTAGCTGAGTTTAATGAAGACCATTGCGCCTTACTGGACACTGGAGAGACTGGGACATATGACACTTTCGAGCAGTTATAAATAGAGATGAGTGACATTAATTTAACTCACTCTGCCGCCATCTGCTGGAATCAATGTGAACTGCAGAGCGCGGACGGAAAAACTGGGCGGAATCTTTTTTTCGTTCCACACGGAGGGTTTAGCTGCAGGAACACAGTCCGCTCTGAGCGGTCAGGTTTGCCACGTCGGAAATATTATCAGTATATTATTTTCTGAAGCACTGAGGAGTAAAAAGGGTACATTCTTAAAAGTTTATCGTTAAAGGAGGTTGTTGAGGGATATAAGCAAACATGGTGAGTGTTACATTATGGTATGTGGTGTATTTATGGTCAGATATATGTATGAAACCCGGTAGTTCACGAGCTGATAACGTAACGTTAAATAGAATAGAGTAATGATCCTGGTACTGTAAAGTCGTGATAATTTATTCGGTAATCTTGTTTTATTTCTATTTTTTTATTTTCTCTTGAGAATTAAAGCAGAAGTTTTATATATGATTAGATTATCTTCATCAAATTACCCTAATAAAGAATTGAATTAATCTTAATTGAATACGTTCATCTTAAAAACAAAACAACAACTAAAATCTCCTAACTAAACTAACAAGCAAGATCTGTAATAAATATTAACGGAACGTATAATCTATACCTACACTTTTTAATTACCTGTATTGTATAAAATATATTACAAAATGTGAAATACATGATAGTTAAAATGGCAAAACTGTTAAATAACTGCTTAGATATTTATTGAAAGAATAAATTGAAAACATACTGTAATTTGAGAAGACCGTGGATATAAATGTGAAATAAATTATTATTGGCAGTTTAAATAAAGGATTAGTTGTTTTAAAATATTAGGATTTTTATAATCTTATAATCTTTTTTAAATATATATATATATATATATATATATATATATATATATATATATATATATATATATATTTAATGAAATAATGAATGAAACTACACAGAATTTTAAAAATAGAGAAATAGATAAAATGGTTTATTATATTTAGTGATGTCAATCGATTTAAGTATTTAGTCTAGTGAATTGTGTAACATAATAAACGACATATAAAGATAATTATTATTAATTATTAATTAATTAAGTAATTATTAACTTATTATTAAAGAAATAAATAAACTAGTAATTGCATACATCACTGCTGATGATTAAATAAAAAAATGTAAATGAAACTTCTTTTTTAGTGCTAAAAATGGATTAAAGTATTTCATTTTATTACATGTTAATTACATGTAATGTGAGTATTTATATAGCAGATTTAATGTGTATGGCCATAGACCCAAAGCGCTTCACAATCATGAAGGGGGTCTCATGATAATGATGCGACGGCAGCCTCACGACAACGGCGCCAGTACGCTCACCACACACTAGCCATAGGTGTAGTGGAGAGAGACAGTTATAGAGCCATGATAACGATAATAATAATTATAATAACTAACAATATATTAAAAAAGAAAATGGTAATTGCATTTATTTTTACTTTACTGGTTGAATTTAGGGCTGCCATTAGATTATAATTCCAAATATAATAATATATAATAATGTTTGTATATTTTGTTAAAGTTGTCAAATAAAATAAAATAAAACGATCATTAGTCCAGTTAATTGCAGAACAAATTGTTACTAAATAAAATTAAGTAAAAAATATCTTGTAATTGCATACATGAGTAAGCCTATAAAATAAATAAGAATAACAAAGGCTTGTACTTTTTTGTATTATATTTATATTTAGTGCTGTCAGTTGCTTTGACTAATGTATCTGCTTAATTATTCAATAAACAACTATTCAATTATAAAATGATAAATTACACAAAGCCGTGTTGGGTGAATTAATGAGTAAATAAATCTATTTATTTGTTTAATCACACACTTATATTTAGTGCTGAAACAAATTTATATCTATGCTTGTACAGTATGTATGTAAAAAATAATATCAATCAAAAATAATGCACATTCCTCACTATACACTACATTTTGGTACTTTATAAGTCATTTTTAATACTGGTATTTAAATAAAATGCATGAATATATTAAAAAAACTTCACTTTTACTTTAAGTTCATGCACATTAAAGTTGAAGGTCATTGTTATGTTTTTAAGTCTCTTCAGCATGTGTGTTGTTGTGTGTTTCAGGTTTCGGTCATTAACACAGTGGACACCTCACACGAGGACATGATCGTGAGTATCTGCAGTCATCCTGCCACTGTCTTTACCTGTACTGCAAGTCTTCTGCGTTTATGCTGTTGTTCTTGTTGTGTTTTCAGCATGATGCTCAGATGGATTATTATGGCACCAGACTGGCCACCTGCTCTTCGGATCGCTCTGTCAAGATCTTCGACGTCAAGAACGGAGGACAGATCCTTGTGGCCGATTTAAGAGGGTGAGTGATATCTGAAAATGATTAAGATGCTTTAAATATCATTCAAATAATGCCATATGTTTTGTCTTTGAGATAATGCCATCATCATTTACTAAAACTTGTAAACATTTAAATTTATGTTCTTGTATAACAGAATGGTCAAATCCATGCAATGTTTTCCTAATTATTAATGGTGACTTATGACTAGGGCCAGGCAGAATCTGCTGACATTTTTGCTATTTCTGCGCAGAATTTTGTAAAAAAAAATCTGCAGATTTATGTGAAATGATTTTAGGAATGTCGTAACTGAAAACTTAATACATGACATAAAAAAGACCTTTTAAACTTTTATTTAATGTTTACAATGCAAATTAGATCAATTTATTTGGCAAACAAAGCAAGTATATGGTATATCTACTAAAAGACGGAAAATATTACAAATTGTTTTGTAAATAAATCATATGAACATTCTCGTATCAGTCAATAAAATTACTGAAAGTAATTTAAAAACGGAGACGAGGCAGTGGCGCAGTAGGTAGTGCTGTCGCCTCACAGCAAAAAGGTCGCTGGTTCGAACCTTGGCTCAGTTGGCGTTTCTGTGTGGAGTTTGCATGTTCTCCCTGCCTTTGCGTGGGTTTCCTCCGGGTGCTCCGGTTTCCCCCATAGTCCAAAGACATGCAGTACAGGTGAATTGGGTAGGCTAAATTGTCTGTAGTGACTGAGTGTGTGTGTGAATGTGTGTGTAGATGTTTCCCAGAGATGGGTTGCAGCTGGAAGGGCATCCGCTGCGTAAAAACTTGCTGGATAAGTTGGCGGTTAAAAAAATATTACTTTAAAAATTGTTTTGTAAATAAATCATATGAACATTCTCTTCTATCTGTCAATAAAATTTATTAAATAATTAATTAATTATTATTATTATTAATAATAATAATAATAAATTAATAATTAATAAAAAATTATAAATAATTAATATTTAATAATTAATAAAGGGACTAAGCCGACAAGAAAATGAATGAATTTAAAAACGGAATAAATATACATGTACACACATGAAAACAATTAAATAAATAGTCGCAATTATGGACTAAAAATCCGCGGACTTATGACTGATACAGAATTTCATTATCATACATTATACCTCTGAATGTCTCTGTTCAGTCATGAGGGTCCGGTGTGGCAGGTGGCCTGGGCTCATCCCATGTACGGCAACATCCTGGCGTCCTGCTCCTACGACAGGAAGGTGATCATCTGGAAAGAGGAGAACAGCACCTGGGACAAGATGTATGAATACACAGGCCACGACTCCTCGGGTAACCTCCCTTCCCATTCTCAAATCACACGTTTCCATTTCACATTTTAGCAATATTTTTTAAGGGGTGGGAATCACCAGTTCCACAATATTGTCACGATACAGTTAGGGCTGTGCAATTAATCAAAAATTCGATTTCGATTTTAATTTTGGCTTCTAACGATTATGTAAAAACATTAATCGAGATAAACGATTATTGCATCATTTACTGCCCCCTTTCTAGTTGTACGCGTGTTGAAAATCAAAAGACATGCGAAAGAGAAACCATTTTAAGAGACAGTGCGCGATAATCCTTCTACCGCCTGTTTTTATAATTATTAATCAAACAATAAATGGAGAACATGTCTTTCTGCTCTTGACTCAAGGACTGCTGCAGCTAAAGTGTTTTTCTGACATTGAAGATGCATAAAGCACAGTTTGCTTCATATTTTTATTCTATTGTTTTTATTTCTCTTATGTTTGCAGGTGGGAAAATAACTGTATATGCAGTTGAAGTGAGAAATACTAGCCCTCCTGAATATTAGCAACTCTCTTCTCCCGTTTTCTGTTTAATGGAAAGAAGATTTCTGAACTGATTTATTTTATCTTTGTCATGATGACAGCACATAATATTTGACTAGATATTTTTCAAAATACAAGCATTCAGATTCAAAGTGCGATTTAAAGGCTTAATTAGTGTAATTAGGCAAGTTATTGTATAACAGTAGTTTCTTCTGCAGACAATCAAAAAATATATAGCTTAAGGGGGCTAATATTATAGACTTTAAAATGGGTTTCAAAATATTTAAACCTGCTTTTATTCTAGCCAAAATAAAAAAGCCTTTCACCAGGAGAAAAAAGTATTAGAGGAAATACGGTTAAATTCCAGTTAAACATCATTTGGAAAATATTTATTTAAAAAAAAATTACCAGGAGCGCTAATTATTTTGACTTAAACAGTAATGGTTTTGAATAATCGTGATTACAATTGTGACCAAAATAATCGTGATTATGATTTTTCCCAAAATCGAGCAGCCCTAGATACAGTATTATAGTGCTATTGTGCGATTATATTGCTATTTATTACCTGTTTTCAACTTTAAATTATGTCCTCAAAGGAAAATATCTGTTTTATCAGTTTATCTCACTAAAGTTTTGTTCATGCAGTGCAAAATGGGATTGTTAGGTGGACAAACTCATAAATAGTGTATGCACCTTTTTGCAATGCCACTTTATTTATTGTACTATTTTACTGTGTGCTAAAGATGACCCAACTCACCTGAAAAAAAAAAAAAAAAAACAGGTTCAAAAAAACTCAACACCACCAGTGGTTCCCAACCTTTTTCTTTGGGGCTCCCCCCATGAACATATACAAACATTGGAGCCCCCCCACCATATAAATACACACGCACGCACACACATATGTACTGTGTATATATATATATATATATATATATATATATATATATATATATATATATATATATATATATATGTATGTGTGTGTGTGTGTTTGTGTAATATTAATATATAGTAATATGTATAGAAAATATTAATTAATCAGTTTTAACTTGTCTTGGCCTTCAATAAAACCAAAATCTAGGTAGGCTTTGTCATACTGTCTAATCTTTTTCTTCGCCTCTGAATAATCACTGCATTTACGTTTGTCTGCCATTTTTGTTTTGATTTTGCCTTCACGACACGTTGACAAGCAGATTGCGCGAGTGAGCAAAATTTAAATAATTATTTAAAGTTATTTATTTTAATTATTTTCACTATTATGTTGGAATTTTAAGCATGTGTTTAGATTTTTTTTTTGGTACTTAAAAATACATATATAATAGTAGGGCTGCTCGATTTTGGGAAAAATCATAATCACGATTATTTTGGTCATAATTGTAATCACGATTATTCAAAACCATTGCCAGTTAAAGTCAAAATTTTTAGCGCTCCTGAGATTTTTTTTTTTTTTTTTAAATATTTCCCAAATTATGTTTAACAGAGCAAGGAATTTTAACAGTATTTCCTATAATATTTTTTCTTCTATTTGTTTTATTTTAGCTAGATTAAAGAAAGGTTTAAATATTTTGAAACCAATTTAAGGTCAATATTATTAGCCCCCTTAAGCAAAATATATTTTTGATTGTCTGCAGAATAAACTACCGTTATAATGACTTGCCTTATTACTCTAATTAAGCCTTTGAACTGCACTTTAATCTGAATGCTTGTATTTTGAAAAATATCTAATAAAATATTATGTGCTGTCAATATAGCAAAGACAAAAAGAAATCAGTAATTAGAAATGAGACTATTATGTTCAGAAATAAGTTAATAAAATATTCTTTCCATGAAACAGAAATTGGGCAGGAAAAGGTTTGCTAATATTCAAGAGGGCTAATAATTCTGACTTCAACTGTATAACAACAGTTTAACAAACGAAACTAATTATTTAAAGGCTAATTTATGTCTGTGCGGTAAGGTTTCCTTATCCACGAGAGCAAAAGTGAAAGTGAACTTACTTTACGTCATGTTAATAGCAATGCGCTAATGGTGCGACGCAGCTGGCTCTTAAAGGTAATGGAAGATGAGACTCTGATTGGTTTATTCTCAAAACACACCTATAACTCATTAAGAAAATAAACTCAACCCTTTTAGACCATGCGCCATGGCGCAAAGCGGATTTTCCCGTCCTTAAGTTAGCAAAAATGCGTTCTGACATGCCCTGAAAGCGTTTGCGCCCTGCGTTTTGCGCTCTGCGCATGGACAGTCAAAATAGAGCCCTTTATTTCAAAATAGCCACTAGCAAGAAATCTAGCATATTGTATTGCTTCCTCTGTATATAATAGTGATTTTTTTTTTAATAGTTGGCTTATCTGCAACCTACACACTAGCCATTATTTTTATTAGAAGCAGACATGCATGTCAGACAAGCATTAATGAGCAGTAAATGCATTGTTTTAAGGGGAGATTTTACAGAGGATTCAAGATTTTTGGATAAAGGGATCATCCCTTTTGAGTTTTAAAGCCTCTCGTTTTGTACATCAGTGCTAAGAAAGCCAGTTTCTACAAATAAATGTGTTATGTTTTAAGAAAAATCATGTAACCTGTAAATGAAAAAAAAATCCATTGCACTTCTGTAAAATATTACTTTGTTGACTAGCCTAAAAACTCTCATGATTGTGAACATAAACGTTTTGTGCACTATATGGGCATTTTTGCTAAATTGATGCTTTCCATTAGTCATTTTTCTTTCAATTCGCAGTTTGTGTAATTTAATTAGAAATGGAAAGGCACATACTGACTGAGACAGACATTCATCATGCTGTTGGTTAAATCAAACACTTTGCTCTTCCACAGTCAATTCGGTTTGCTGGGGCCCATACGACTTTGGCCTGATTCTGGCCTGCGGTAGCTCAGACGGGGCCATCTCAGTGTTAACCTGTTCTGGAGACGGACACTGGGATATTAAGAAGATCAACAATGCACACACTGTAAGTTTTGCCTTTGAGTTTACAACATCCTAATATTTACATGTCCAGGGCTCTAAGAAATACTGTTTGGTTATTTAAAGGGCCATGAAACCCCCTCTTTTCAGCAGGGTGTTTTTACACCTCTATTTTGGAAAAAGTCAGAAAAGTGGGCGTGTCCAGCTTTGTTTAGGGGGGAGTGTCGGAGGAAGAAAAGAGGCTTGGTGTGGGAGTGTATTTGGGCGCGCTGAATTTCAGAATCAAAACACACACCCACAGCGGACAATGTAACTGTGTTTACATGGACATCTGTAGTCGAATTATTTGCCAAATGATTAAATGGTGGACTTTAACTGCTGTTTGGCTCTTTCATTAAGGGAATTCATTCATGTCCCTCACGACAAATGAGATATTTGATTCAAGGAACTGCTCTAAGTGTGTATTTTTATGCAATGTTTGATACCGCATTGATACGGCGAATGAGAGAAAAAAACCCTCCGCATTTCCCGGAAACTTAGATGCACTCGGCAGGTAGCGTCAGAAAGCCGCGTGTGCTATTCCGGTCACAAAATCCTGCACGAGGTTATGGTTTGGTTGTAGTGCTAACTTGTTTACACTCGGTGCAATAGTTTGGTCGATACGAATAAAATACGAACTGAATAAACAAAGAGCACTGGTCGCTCACTTACCAAATCTGTAAAGACAGGACAATCACCAGCAACTAGAGCCGCGTCTTTATTAAGAGGAGACTACAAGCGAATCCGGATCTCAGCGTTTGCAGATGAGAACAGCTCTCAGGTAAACAATAATCCTCCTTAGACACGTAAGTTATTGTTGTCGAGCGTTGCGTACACTGTAATCTACGCGTGACTCCAGCTGCGCTCTCACAGAGAGAAAATGAAAACAAAACTTAACGGCAGCAAACTATAAAAGCAACACTTCACGCTTGTTTTGCCAACACAACGTGGCGTCTCTGTCATCTAAACACTGTGACAGTAATAAATATTAATGAAGCTGCACAATAGAGCGCGCTGATTGGTTTGAACCAAGCTTTACTCATGCATTAATGCAGCAGGCTGTAAGACGTAATAAGACACACTCTGGCACAGACGCCCAGTCTGCACGCTGGAATACACGCTATTATGTCATGACCGTGACGCAGCTTCAAAAATTCGTTTCAAACCGGAAGTACAAATTTGCTTGAAATAACGCAAAAACAACCAATTTACACTTTTTAGTGAAATATATGTGTCCTAATAGTGTTTATAGCAGTGTGGGACACATATACGACTGTCAACCAATGACTGTAAAAAATATGGACGACGCGACAGCCCCTTTTCCCATTGAACGCCTTGAGGGCAAAACGCCTGCTTGACGGGCACAAACTGTCGCAACAGACTGCTGAAATTGGAGCCTTGACATGCGCAGAAGGACTGTCTGATGGAGCCAGAGGAGGAGCCGCGAAAATGAGCGGAGTCGAGCTTCTAACCAAACGCTTTATGTTAAATCACCCACGCCCCCCGAACTTCTCACTCGACTGCCGGTGTGTGCACTATAACAAACGCTCACTGATGTAAATAGAAGCACTTACATTAAAAAAACACAATAATATACGGTTTAAAAACGGTGTGATGTAAGCTGTTAAACTTTAATAAAAGCAATACATGGTGGACTGCAGAAATGAACGATCTTTTATACACTCTAGCCTGAATATGAGCACAAATAATATATTCTCTTATTGTTATGTTTGTTGTTGGTATTTGTTATCTTCATAGGGGTAGAAATAACACTTGTAAAATATGAACAATAACATATAAACAACACATACATTTTTAGAAAGGTTTTTATTTTTAATTAGCCATCAACAGAACCCAAAATATAGCCTACACACCATAACGATTTACCATGCGGGAACAATCGTGCGTTTAGAAGATAAATACAACAAGATTACTAAATATTAACAGGATATTTACACATCCCAACCCTGCAATTTGTCAATTTGTGCAAAAAAACTTTGCACTATTAATCCAATGTCTATCTGCTGCAACATCACTAGTATATTGTTTATTCATTTTCGCTTGAATTGTTTATTTATTTAATTTTTTGCCTCCGTTTTCATTTGGTTTATTCGATGCCTTCATTATATCTGGCAACGAGGAATTTACAATAATTTTAATGTTAGCTGGAGTGTTCAAATAAAACGCCAACAGTAAATGATGTAAATAAATAATATCTAACATTTACAGCTCTATTAGGTTATATAAGATTCGATTTCAAGAACCTTATAATGATTTATAACAGCAAATTCAGTAGATTACTTAATAACATGCCAAAACTTAAAATGCAGAGACGTCCTGTAAAGCAAGTTCAAATAACCTTACACAGGAGATCAACGTGGAGATTATTATTTTAGACACATAAAGAGAATTACTGCTAACGATCTCCTGTATTTTCCCCGTACTTAAATGGGTTTATTTTATTGTGCAGTTTTATTGTCATTTTCGTATTTCTTAATTCTTGTGCACTACAAAATGTATTCAATTGTATTATTATTTAATACTTGTGCAATCGATACAGGTTTATTGTTATTTATTTTGTCCTTTATTTAAATAATTGCTATGTATGCTGTTTGCATCTTTATTCAAAGGTTAAACTCAGTGATACACTTTGCGTTCACATAGTAGCATGCGTTTGTTGTTATATCAACAAAAATGGTTGTAATAACGTTAACAAATGTGAGGGTTTTATATAATGAAGATTCAATCGCGCCAGCTCCGGGCAGCAGCGCACATAACCTACTCGCGGCGTCGCGGGCTGATTCCGGCTCGCATGCGGCAGCGCCTGCTCGCTCGGCCCCCGCATCTGGCTCAATTGACTCAAGCTGGAATCGGGCAGTGAGTCCAGGCATCCGGAGTAGGTCCAGCAGAGGTAGTCAGTCTGAGGGGTAAGTCTCCGGCAGGCAACAACTGGCCCCAGTGTATTTTGCTATCTGGGGGGTTAGGCGTGTATTAGCAAACTAATAAAGCCCGAAAAAAGCTCTGACCTTAGCGAATAAACAGTGTTCCACCAGATCATGTATGTCAGAAACTGTAGTTTACTGCTGAACTCATTTTGTCATAGTAAAATATCACAGAAATCGAGTAATAACACTTCAGTCTTCTGCCGAAGCTCAGACGCCGCGCTTTGAGAAACTGTCAATCACAGCTGTCAATCACGATGACACGCCCAGCATTAAATTACTGCTAAAAACAAACTGTTTACAAAAATGAGGATCTGCACCTATTTCAGCACAATAACCAGAGCTTTAATCGACCAGAACCATCTTTAGGGACATTTTATTGCAAGTGTAATTAATTTTTTTATTTGGGCTCAAGGCTCCTTCATTAACACGGAGGAGGCGGGCTTTATGACTTGTACTGCAGCCAGCCCCCAGGGGGCGATCTAACAGCCGAGACCTTCACTCAAACGCAGGCTTGCGGCACACTTGCTGTCAACAGCTTAAAAAAATGTGTTTTGGTGTTTCGTGACCCTTTAAAAAGATGTTTAATTAATGGTCAATTTCATCTGCTGCAGTTCAAGCCGGGCATCAGAATGGCAAAGAAAGGTGATTTAAGTTATTTTGAATGTGGCATGGTTGTTGGTGCCAGACGGTCTGGTCTGAGTATTTCAGAAACTGCTGATCCACTGGAATTTTCATGCACAATCATCTCTAGGGTTTACAGAGAATGGTCCGAAAAAAAGAAAATATCCAGTGAGCGGCAGGTCTGTGAGTGCAAATGCCTTGTTGATGCCAGAGGTCAGAGGAGAATGGCCAGACTGGTTCAAGCTGATAGAAAGGCAACAGTAACTCAAATAAGCTCTTTTTACAACCGAGGCTTGCAGAAGAGAATCACTGAGCGCACAACCTCTTGCACTTGAGGCGGATGGGCTACAGCAGTAGTTGCAGCAGGTTGCCTGGTCTGACAATTCTTAATTTCTTCTGCGACATGCATTGAATTTGGTATCAACAACAGGAAAGCATAGATCCATCCTGCCTTATATCAACGGTTCAGGATGGCGGCGGCGGTGGTGGTGGTGGTGGTGGTGTAATGATGTGGGAGATATTTTCTTGGCACACTTTTGGCCCTTTAGTACCAATTCAAGCAATGCCACAGCTTACTTGAGTATTGTTGCTGACGATGTCCATCCCTTTATGACCACAGTGTACCCATCTTCTGAAGGCTACTTCCAGCAGGATAACGCGCCATGTCATAAAGCGCAAATCATCTCAGACTGGTCTTTTGAACAAGACAATGAGTTTACTGTGCTCAAATGGCCTCCACAGTCACCAGATTTCAATCCAATAGAGCACCATTGGTCTATCTATATATCTATATATCTATCTTTCTATCTATTAGAGATGCACCGATACTGTTACACCTATACCATAAAACTGTTTTTATAGTTCTGGTGATTGCTCAAATAATAAATCTTATTTAAAAATAGCAGACGGGCTTACTGTATATGACATGGCACAATCTAACTAAAAACAGGATGCTTGCTGTAAACTAGGCTACATTATTTAAGCATTTGATTTAACATTGATCTATTGTGGTCCAGCTTTTGTTTCTTTTTTAATATTTAGATTTTTCTTTAAAATCTGTAAAAGGCTACCACTTTTAACTCTAATCGTTGGTAAAATAATCAGCCTTTTAGCAAAGCCTGATATTTTCCAAAAGCTAATTTGTGCTAATTCAATAAGTCTTCTAAAGACTCAAAACAAGATTCCTAAAACAATTTCACACAAGATATTTTCTAAAAAATAATTTTACAGGTATAAAATAAACAAACTACATAGATTGCTACATATTTTTTTGATATGCTATAATTAATTTAAACATTCTTTTTTTTTTCTTATTTACCACATGTACCTAGACATTACATGAAACATTAGGTCAAATATTTGCCTGAAATTTTTGGAAAAGTCCTGGAATATTAGTAGTGAAAATGTCTATGAACCCTGAATATAAGATATTTAACACATTTCAAGGAACATGATCATCTGTGAAGATTCTTTAATGAATCATGAATTAAATATATTAGTTTCTAAATGCTGATTGGACCAATAATATCCAGCTGCATGCCCGCAGAACCACACATGTTTTAGGCACACACAATCTAGGACACACGATTTAGGCAAACCATATGTGGTAACTAACTAACTCTTTAGCATTATCGCCACCTATTGAATTTCACAAGTATGGTTTAAGTCATTATTATTATTATTATATTGTAACGATCATTTTAACATCTCTGCAATTTCTGAACCCAAATTATGTAAATAAAAATAATCTGTTAAAGACACTTGTGACTTTATTTATGTGTTCACATAAACAAAGAAAACATAACAGACTGTCTAATTGTAGGTTTAACTAATTCAGGATTTTATTGTTATCATACTTGGTTAAAATCACTTTGTTGTAAAGTATAAAAAACAAACAATAATGTGTCACATTAAAATAAATTAGCATATAGTTAATCATTTAAACTATCTATCTATATATGTATGTGTGTGTATATATATATATATACACTTATATACACTTATAATTTTTTATTAATTATTAATAGTTAATTTGTTCCTATTGCTAAATTTTGATTTAAAAACAATTTATTGCTTACTATAAATTACTAAAGTATTAAACGTGGGAAATCATTACTTAAAAGGTTATAGGAAAGTTAAGCAAATAAACACTATAAAATTGCTTGTGTAAAATATTAATATAGTGTTATACATTTGTTACATGTAAAGAGATTTTTATTACATATAATGTATTATTGCCTATGTTAACTTGCTATTCTTTCCTTCATTATAAATGAATCCATTATATAAATTAAACCTGTCCAATTTAGATCGTTCAGCAAGGCCAGCAAACACACATTTGCCATATTATTGTCAGATAATAGTGACTGATCAGCTATAATGACTGATAAAAACTGTTCAATGGCAATCGGAAGCAATGCTCCCCATTCGCCCGTCGCGATCCCAATATTTGTGAAATAAAATGAACACTATTGTTTATTGTGTACAATATTTATTAACCATATATATCAAAATATATCGATGACGATGTTCAAAAAGACGTAAATAACATTAACATCCGTCGTAACCATATTTGGTTTGCCTAGATTGTGTGTGTCAGATTGTGTGTGCCTAAAACGTGTGTAGTTCTGCGGGCCTGCAGCTGGATATATCTCGATTGGACAGTATTATTTAGTACTTTACAGTATAGAGTGTTAAAGATGTCTTCCAGGACTGGCTCAGTTTGTGATACCTCATGCTGCGGTTTGAGCTTTTAACATGGTTTCCCTCTTCTTTGTGGCAGATCGGCTGTAATGCAGTGAGTTGGGCCCCAGCTGTTGTCCCAGGGAGTCTTATTGAGCAGCCAACAGGACAGAAGCCCAACTACATCAAGAGATTTGTGTCTGGAGGCTGTGACAATCTGGTCAAGCTGTGGAAGTGAGTGCAGCCCTTATTTCACAGTCTACAGCGATGAACACCTGCTGTCAGCCTTTATTACAGCAATAGACCCACACTGTATATATATAATAAATACTGTGTTTTCAGAAAAGTTTTGCACAACACTGGAACAGAAAACTTTTTATGAGGTGCTGCATTTCATTTACAAGACAATAGCACTTTTGGGAGCATAAAAATGTGAACTTTTTTTGCACATTTTTAAAATAATATCATTTTTCTTTTCGTTAACTACTGTGATTTCATGAAACGTTGATGTCATGTGTATTATGTGTATTCAGTAAGGGTGTGACAAGTTCTCGTTTGACAATCTCGCAAGATTAAATTGTGATGAGATTACTCGTCGAGGTAAAAAGTCTTGTGAGTTGTAATCAGGGATGGGTCCTGAAACTGTACTTTATTGGTATCGGTGCTAAATTCTTAAAGACTGAAGTATCGATAAGCTCTGAAGTTAACGGTTCTGCTATCGGTACTGGAGAAATATTGCTGAAAAAAACATTACTTATAGTAGAATAACTTAACTGACCAACCGTTTCTAATTTGCATTATTCGTCTGGCAATCTCACATCAGAAATGCTTGTGTTTTTGCCCAATAGTACAACGGCGAGCACAAGTATAAAAGCCTTCGTAGTTCTCGGCTGTGCTTGCATGCTCTGTGCAGGCTCGCGCTAAGTGCGCAAACTTAGCTCACAACACAGACTTGCAAGTGGGCGCACTCAGCTCGTAAGCTTGCGGAGGGGCGGAGAGAACCAAACGGGTTGTATTTCCCAAGTGGATAGCGACAATGCCCATTGCAACAAATGCAACAAGTTGTTTTCTTGTAAAAGCAGAAACGCAAGCAGTCTGAAAGACAAATAAAATGTTTTCGACTGCCTAGCTAAAGGTACGTCATCCACATCATTATGCTGCTAGCAGTCAATCACATAAGGTCTCTCTAAATTAGTATATTATTAATACTTTAATAAACGGATACATTCGGTTACAATGAAAAGTTTTTTTAAAATAAATCTTAAACATTAAAACTGCGTTTACATCAGCTGTATTTACAAGTATAGCATAATGATCTTTTCTTATCAATAAATTATTTTAAAAAGTGCTTATTTTTACCTTGTTATCTCCCAAAACACAGGTGACTCATTTATGCCAATGTGTTAAAGAAAAATTATAAACATTCATAAACAAAGAGGGTATTTTTTAACTGCAGGGAGCACAAGAAACCAAGAAAGATTCTGACTTCTGCCAGAAAAGGCAAACATGTTGATTTTTCTTCAGAAAAAAAAGGTTAAAAAAACAGTAATTTTTCTTTAAATCATTGTAAATTTTTTTACAGAATTGTTTTTATTTATTAGTTTTACAATTATAGGTTTTGCTTTATTTTACACGAAAAACGTAATAATAAAAAAGTGTTGTTAATTCTGTTCAATTAGTTTTTTTTTATATAAATAAAAACTACAAAAGTACAGATAAGAGAACCGTTAAAGTACCGAACCCATAATGCAGTAATACCGTTAAAGCCTTGACGATACCTATCCCTAGTTGTGATGTTATGGAGCGTAAGGTTGAATTTAGCACTGAAGATTAGAGATGCGTCCAACAGAGGCTACAACTGCAGCCACACTTCATTTCCATGAGATGGAATAGCACCATAAGGCTCCTACACACCGGGACGTTTTTCGTTTGCGTTTATCTGCAGCATTTTACGAGATGTTTTTCAGTGTTCAAACCCAAGTGCTTTTCACTGGCGTCAAGCAGAAGAGTATGCTAAATCACTCTTTTGACGTTAGATGGCGCTGCACAACATTAAGCTTCTGACACCCGCTTATAACACAGAAGAAGAGGAGGAGAGGAAGTTCACATGTTTGTTTATAAAGTTACTGGTGACTCGAACAAGCATGGATGGTTCAAGCAGCAGCTCCAGCTCTAGCGATGAAGAAATGATTATTGTTTACCAGTGCAATAAGCAGCTCCACGTTCATATCGCCTCTGTGCATCTTCTTCAATGTGCGCTCGGATTGACAGTTTTGCGCTTGAGCGCCTCCAAGTGCCGTTTACGGTAATTTCAGCAGCTCCGTGCACGTGAGCAAAAGTGCCGATCTGATTGGTGGAGAAGGTTTTGACGTTGCGTGTCAAAACAAAAAAACGAGCATGAGGCGTTTTTTTTTTTAAATGACGCTTTTGCGCCTGCCGTTTTGCGCGTTGGTATGCACAATCACATTGAAGCCCTTTATTAAGTGTTACAACCTGTTTGATGTTAGTCTAGGGTAAAAGTAATAACATTTAAAAGGTGTGGTACCTTTACAAGATGATGGGTGAAAGTAAAAGACACAAACAACAAAACTGCCAACAAAAGTGATTTAATGTACAAAAAAAGTGAAATCAGAATAATGCCCAAATATGGAAGTCGTACGACATCTTCCCTGTCCTCCTTACTCTGAGGACAAAGTCAACTCTCAATGATCTGTTTTGGGTTTGTCAGGTAAGAGTTGTGCCAAAGTAACAAACAAACAATCGAATATAAATGTACAGAAATCACAAAGTCGTTCAAAAATGGGCAGAAAATATACTAAATAATTTTATCCAAACGAAAGTTAAGCAAAATTAACGAATAACAAAATCATGTCGGCAAAAATACACAAAAACGGGATCAAAGGAAAAGCGCGCTGTCATCCGCTCTCCCTGGCGTCATATGTGACAGCGCCACGTCACCCAATGATGAGTGACTGGTCTCCTGACCAATCGGTTTCCGCGAAGGCGGACCTAAAGGATGTGACAGGTAGAGATGGGGAGAGAGAAAGAGAGGGAGAGAGAAAAAGAGAGAGAGAACGGGACGCAAAAATTCCACCAATATACGGCAGCCGTTACATTAAGTTACGAGGCGTAAAACGTTGACAGAAAACGCGAGCAAAAAACGTCTTGTGTGCACGGTCCTTTAGATATGCTTAAAGTCATAATCGTCGTGAACACTAATGGAATTAAGACATGTAGAGCAGGGGTACTCAAATATAAATTTGCAAAGTCCACTTTCCTAATTTTCATTCCGTGAAAATTCCGTGGTCCGGAGAAGTAACGCCTAAATTCCAAATAGAGAACTCCAACAAAATGGACTATACACAAACTGTATATGTATATATACTGCCAACTATACACAAAAAACAACATGATAGAAATTTTAGTGTGAAAGGTGACACCTTCTTTGTGCCACTAGTTGTTTAAACTTGGGCATAAAAGGTGTGAGGGCCAGGCGGAGGCACTGATGTAGGTGTTCATTGGTGAGTGTGCTGCGGAATGAGTTTTTCACCATGTTCTTGGTTGAAAAGGCAGTTTCACAGCAGTATGTTGAGGGAAACATTGTAAGAATCTGAAGGGCTTCTGCAGGAGAGGAACACCTGCTGCAGTAACCATTTTTGTCCAGAAGGTGACAGGGTCACAGAGAGATTCCTGCAGTGCTAGGTTTTCTTGGAGCTCAATTAGCTCCTTCTGCAAAGTAGCAGCATTTGCCCATGGGAAGACTTTCATGGCTTCAGTTGATAATTCTTCAATACTTTTGACTAGAAATGGATTTTCTATGCACAACAAGAAAATATACCAAATGCCAAATTGGTCGACATCGCCCAACCCTACTTTGGCTCATTGGGTGGAAACAGTGCTTTATTTGCAAATGTTTTATACAATTTACCAGTTTTACGCATCTAATTAGTTTTTTTGGATGGAATTATAATTAGTGGTGGACTGCAGGCATGTAATTTTGCAGACGCATAGTGTTTCTATATATAGTTATATCGCCACTAACTGGCCTGGCATGGCGATTACAGAAGGTTTAGTCATTTTCACAGATTTGTATGAATGGGGATCATTTAAAACATGTTGTCTCTGTTTAAAATATTTTGAAAACTCTCACCCTCCACTTATTTCAAACTTATCTTTCCTCTATTGAATAAAAGAGATGTTTTGATGTAAGCTGAAATTCCATTAATAACTTTAGTTTTGTTTTTCACTATGGATGTCGATGGTTACTGGTTTCCAACATTGTACAAATTTTCATCAACACATTCAACAACAACAATTTAAAGAAACATTTAATGGTTTTTAACAGCAATCCATTGAGTAAGTGATGGCTTTAATGGAATTGTACCCCCAAATGAATATCTTTTAATTAAATAGTAAATACAGAGTCTTTAATATGTATAGGTCCAAAAATGTGCTGACTTCTATTATTTTCTTTGCAGGGAAGAAGACGGCCAGTGGAAAGAGGACCAGAAGCTGGAGGCGCACAGTGATTGGGTGAGAGATGTTGGATGGGCTCCTTCTATTGGTCTACCGACCAGCACAATCGCCAGCTGCTCGCAGGTATTCACAGCCAAATACTTTACCATATATTATGAGTGTGTTCCATTTATTATCTATAGTAAAAATGCAGTTGTTTTAATCTTGTGAATGTGATCACTGAGAATGTTGCTTTGGGGTTTTTTTTTTTTAACATTGTTTGTACCAAAATAGTACTGGGGCATAAGTTCTATAACAAATTGACAATTATTGAATTAATTGACAAATTTAAAACGATTACTGTTTTAAAATATATAATGTTGTGTTGCACTTTAGGATGGTCGTGTGTTCATCTGGACATGTGATGATCCTGCTGGTAACACCTGGACAGCCAAACTCCTCCACAAATTCAATGATGTGGTGTGGCACGTGAGCTGGTCCATCACTGGAAACATCCTGGCTGTGTCTGGAGGAGACAACAAGGTAAAAACCTCATATGACATTTGATTTAAGAAATAGGAGATTAAAATTTTGGCATTATTTATTGTTTTTTTTGTCATTCCAAATTTATATGACTGAAGTACAAAATCTGATGCTTTGTGGAATGTTCAGGCTGCTCACCTTGTCATTTTAAGGTATTTTTTCAGTGTTGAATCTAAATATTTACATGCCTGCTCAACGGTTTGTCAATTTTTACAAATGTTTTTATCAAAACTTTTTATCACAGTATTCAATTAAAAACAACTTTATGTATATATATATATATATGTATATATATATATATATATATATATATATATATATATACATATATATATGTGCGCGTGTGTGCGCGTGTGTGCGCGTGTGTGCGCGTGCGTGCGCTTGCGTGCGTGCGTGCGTGCGTGCGTGCGTGCGTGTATATGAGCAATATCACACAAGTAGCAGTGTGCTATGGCTGTATATCAGCACTGGTGGTAATACACAGCCATAGCACACTGCTATGAGTGTAATATTGCATCTATACAACAGTTTGACGCCACAATCTTGTACATAAAAAAGAAAATCAAACACAGAGTCTAAAACGCTTTTGTTTTAGGAGCTACTTTCTTCCGCCATTCATTCACATCTACAGCTGACATCAGAACAGCAGAAGCAGTTACTAATTCACCAACGTCACTTTAGAGCAAGTATGTGAATGATTCTCTATAGCGTAATGTGAAGCGACGCTTCTGGTGTGTGACCCTCTTAAGGTGATGACAAAACAGCAAATTTTGCTCACATTTTAAGATTAGAAGGCTGAATGTGACATGAAATGCCATCCGTCTGCAGAGATTTCTCACCAGACTGCTGTTGTGTTTGCTATAAGGAGGTACGAGGCTGAATCCAGCTTCTTATTCGCCGCTTCTTAATGACTCTATCCCAGGGGTGGGCAAACTCGGTCCAGGAGGGCCGGTGTCCTGCATAGTTTAGCTGCAACACTAATCAAACACACCTAAACATGCTAATCAGTGTCTTCAAGATCACTAGAAATCTCTAAGCAGGTGTGTGTGATTAGAGTTGGAGCTAAACTGTGCAGGACATCGGCCCTCCAGGACTGAGTTTGCCCACCCCTGCTCTATCCGGTCCACCGAAAAAAAACACGAGGCTTCTGTTTTTCAGCTTTTTATTCGCGCTTAAGAAAACACACTGAGGAAGGGCTTATTATGTGGTTCTGGCGCCATCTTCTGGATGGACAACGTCAACTGTCTGTGGCTGCTGATGAGCTCTCAGAAATTGTAAATATTTTAAAATAGGCACTATTCTTACAAATAAACTGCATAGTTCCAGTCTAAACAACTATATTCTCGACTAAAAAAAGCCTCAAAAGTACATTTTGTTGTCTAACAAGTAATACTGTAGCCTGCTTGTTGCTTGCTGTATGTGGGCGGAGTAATACACAGAGGTGAAGGGCTGACAAATTATTGCACATCTATCAGCCAATAAGAACCAGACAGAACTGTTGTAACGGTGTGTGTGTGTATATGTGTTTATGTGTGTGTGTGTGTGTGTGTGTGTGTGTGTATATATATATATATATATATATACTTATACAACAGTTCTGTCTGGTTCTTAAATCTGATTGGCTGATAGCCGTACAATATTTTGGCAGTAACATCACACAAAGGCCTCTTCACCCTTTAAAAAAAAAATAATAATAATAATAATAATTAAAAAAAAAATATATATATATATATATATATATATATATATATATATATATATATATATATATATATATACATACATATATATATATATATATATATATATCCATAATCACATAACTTTTATTAATACAACAATCTATTCTAACTTTATAGAATAGCTTGCTTGCTTATATTTTACACTGGAAAAAAACACATAAGTGCAAATAAGTAAGTAATAATTTGAATTAAAAAAAACACTACACATGAACTACACATTTAAAGATTGAAGTGTTATTTTCCCTGTAAAAATACTTCTATAATCTTTTACAATATATTTAAAATACTTATTTGCAGCATTCTTGAATGCAGTTTTTGCTTTTTATTATATGAAAGATGGTAGAGGCAGAAAATGTTCAAACACTAAGGAAGGCGTCAAGCCGAAACGTTTTTGTTTAAATCTTAGACCAATGTGAAATAAAGAAATACAAAGCAAGTACTCAAGTGCGAATCATGACCTTGAGTGCTTTTTAGCATATGAAATGCATAATTAAATCACACAATTACAATATCATAAGAGAGAGCTTGTATTTACAACAAAGGCACAGTTTGATTTTGCCATGACTGAGTGTGGAATTATGGGAGTTGTAGTCTTCATTATAACTTATGGCACTCTAGCAGAAGTTGTTCATGGATAAGCTAAAGTATTCAATAATTGCTATCATGCTAGTATAAAACAGAGTACAGCTGAAAGTTGTGAATGCAAAATGTGAGACAAAGCAGCAGAGCTTTTATTATGCCACAGTCCACTGTTTACTGTTTTTAGGCTCTTGGTCATGTGGTGAAAAAGCAGCGCTGTTTTATCATACTAAATACATTTTTGCCTCCTGTTGTAATGCTGCTCTGTGCAGGCTAATAAATCAGACAACATATTAAATCATATTTGTTGTTTCCCTGTTTTCTATTTAATCAAACTGGAAACCGAGAGTGTGCTCTCTATTCTTATGGATAGTTTTTTTGGATAAAGTCTTAAATATTGTGCCTTTAAATAATAGCCACTGGTGACATAGATCATCAGACTAGTCCAATGACAAATACAAGACGAGCCTAAATCACAGCGATAAATCTTTATTTGTTTTGCGTCAGACTTAGATATGATTCACCCGGTCACCAGTAAAAGGACAGGCCATGAATGTTCTTTGACAAATTCATTGTGATTCATTCGCTCTTCCCCGTGAAACTTATGTTGACAGCGTTTGGCCGTCATCCAGTGGAATTTACAGAAGGAAGATGCTATTTGTGGTGAATGTGGGCAACTTACGGGCCTGCAGAGCAGTGATTTACCAGCTATCATTACTCATTTTACAGGGCCCGAGTATTAAAGCTCTCTCAGGTTCAGGAATTAATGACGGAGGTTAAATCACCCAGCACTCGGCCTGGTCTTCGACGTCGCCGCTTATTCAAATGAAGACTCCATTTCGATGCCTTGTAATTATTCACGTCGACAAGCGACGGGTCGAGCCATTTACTTTCAGCCGAACGTGCCATTATCTGATGCATTCATAAAATAGACAGCTAAATAATGCAAAAGGGGGTTGAAAACAAGCACAGGTTAAACATAGGCCTCTCTTGGTGGTTTGAGTGAGCTAATGCAGGCACGTTTGTTTTGATTATTTTTTTAAATAACTAATGGGGGATGTTGCAGTGGTGCTTGGTAATTATTATGCACCACCTACATTGAAAAAAGAAGTATTTTTAGTCATCAATTGCTTTTATTTTTGACAAACATTTATAAAAATTGCAAGTAGCGCAGTTGGCATGCCTGGCTTTTTTTTTTTTTTTTTTTTTTTTTTTTTACAAATGTTTATTTCAGTATTCTTTTAAAAATCATACAGGCTTAAAGTTTTGCATTAGCATGGAAATTATATGCTTGACAGACAAGAATATAAATATGGATGTGAACATAGTCACTGATATGGAGCCAGATCAGTCTCAAAAATAATACATTTACAAAATAAAATTCATACATCCACAACACAATTCACATTTACAAAATCCAGTTCAAAACGCAAATCCAATTTGTAAATTCAAAACACAGTTCATAAATACACACAACCAACTCATAAATTCAAAAAATGATTCAAAAATCCGCAAATCCAGTTCATAAATTCATAACACAATTCAAAAATATGCAAATCCAATACGCTAATTTAAAACACCATTCAAAAATATGCAAATCCAATACGTAAATTCAAAACATGATTGATTGATTGATTCATTCATTCATTCATTTTCTTGTTGGCTTAGTCCCTTTATTAATCCGCGGTTGCCACAGCGCAATGAACCGCCAACTTGTCCAGCAAGTTTTTTACGCAGCCGCAACCCATCTCTGGGAAAAAACATGATTCAAAAATATACAAATCCAATACGTAATTTCAAAACACCATTCAAAACTGCACAAAACCATTTTATAATTTCAAAACACCATTCAAAACTGCACAAAACCATTTTATAATTTCAAAACACTATTCAAAAATATGCAAATCCAATTCGTAAATTCAAAACACCATTCAAAAATACACAAATCCAATACGTAAATTCAAAACATGATTTACAAATATGCAAATCCAATATGTAATTTTAAAACACATAAAATGTCCACCCTGGTTTCATATTCATCATCCTGCTAATGTAGATGTTAGACTGAAGAAGCTGATATTAATATTAAAGATTTCAGCTGCTGTCTGGGCTTTCACTGCCATTCTACTCCCACCTTTCTTCATGTGTTCAATACTTTGTGTCATTTCATTTTAATACAAACAACTTAATTTGTAAACTGTTTAATATGGTTTTCTTTGCATATATGGATTTCTTTGATTGTTACCAACACCCGGGGAAAATTTGAAGTCAACAGCACCTTTAGAACTTTTAGAAAAATGGTGACGAGTTGAATACTTATTTCCCCCACTGCTAGTAAAAAAGGTGTTTACAGTTAACAAAGCTAAACAATGAATTCAGTCGTAAAAGTAAAATGCACTAGTGATATCTAGTAATATTTAATGTATTCACTGGTTTGAAAAGTTGCCTTTTCCCCTATTTCTTATAAAAAGCAGAATGACTTTATTTGCATTGCTGACTTGTGTCTGCAGGTGACCCTGTGGAAGGAGTCAGTGGACGGACAGTGGGCTTGCATTAGTGACGTCAACAAAGGCCAGGGGGCCGTGAGCTCCATCACAGACAGCCAACAGAGCGAGCAGTGAGCCCTGTCCCTCTCTCGCACCTCTAATCAGACCAGGGTTACTTCATTCTGCCCTCAAAGACTTTCTGAAACCTGCATCCCACTCCCAGGTGCTGGAGCCCATATCAAATGTTGTTTGGTTTTTCAACCTTGCCATGATTTTTTAGATTATTTCCAATGGTTCCTTCCCAGATTGGATGTTTCCGGTGATTTGTATTATTTGTTCTATTTCTAAACATGGCAAGTATGTTGAGAAATAACTACTGGAGAATTAAAAAAATATGAAAGCTAGTCCAAATAATGGCCATAGTGGATATTAACAGTGGGTTTCAAGTCCTTAAAAACCCCTGAAGAATAAAATTTTCTATACTTAACTTTAATATTGTTATTATTTGATTTAAGTATGCATGTGCCTTTTATGTACAGTTGAAGTCAGAATTATTAGCCCCCCTGAATTATTATTAATTAAATATTTGTATATTTTTTCCCCTAATTTCTGGTTAATGGAGGGAAGATTGATTCAGCATATTTCTAAGCATAATAGTTTTAAAAACCTATTTCTAATAACTGTTTTATTTTATCTTTGCCATGATGACAGTAAATAATATTTTACTAGATATTTTTCAAGACACTTCTATACAGCTTAACGTGACATTTTAAGGCTTAACTGGGTTAATTAAGTTAACTAGGCAGGTTAGGGTAATTAGGCAAGTTATTCTATAACGATGGTTTATTCTGTAGACTATCGAAAAAAATTAGCTTAATGGGGCTAATAATATTGTCCCAAAAATAGGTTTTAAAAAATTCAAAACTGCTTTAAAGAATACATATTTAAAAATAAAAAAGGGGGCTAATAATTCTGACTTCTACTATGTATATATGTATATATATATATATATATATATATATATATATATATATATATATATATATATATATATATATTGTAATGCGTGTATCCTTTCATCCATCTAAACATACATTAGAAACTATTTATAATATGGTAGGGGATTGGGACCAAAGGTTTTAGCATGAAATGCTGTGAATTTTTTGTTTTAGTATTCACAATCGCTCAGTTTGACTGCAATTTTTATGGAATCTTATGTAACATTTGCAGCCATTCCAGTACACATTCATAATATTCACAAGCAAACATGACGTCTGATGTTTGTATGTGCATTTGCATTAGTCTGAAATCCAGCAGTTTCATTGGCTGTCAATTGAGTCAAACTGAATACTTGCATTGTCAAAAACTGCTGAAAATTTGGAAAATAAATGATAGCAAGCTATATTTCAATCGCATTCTTGAAAATTTACAAGAACTTTACCTCGTTTGGTAAATTGGCAGCCAATTTGGACAAATTCATGCAACCTAATTCTTATGTTTCTACAACTTTTGCGTAAATTTGTGTTCTTAAATTTCAACTTCATAAAATTGAGTTAAATGTTGTCCTCAAATTGTTGCTCAGCTATTAGAATTATTTACTTTAGGTAAGTTTTAAGAATAACTCTTGTCACTATCAAATTCCATGTTTCGTTTGGAAAACTTTAGACCCCAATGGCCTTCCATACTTAAAGGGTTAGTTCACCCAAAAATGAATAGCCTGCTATTGATTATTCACCCTCGCGTCTTTCAAAATCCTGAAGCCTTTATTCATTTTCAGAACACAAATGAAGATATTTTAGATGAAATCTGAGAGCTTCCTTAATATGTCAGAGGTGAGTTCTCGTGACCGTGCGCAATATACTGACACTGAGGAGACAAAATTTATCAATAAAGTCATTATTTGTTTAATGTTTGTACAAAATAATTCTTGTAGCTTGATGAACTGATTGAACCACTGAAAGCCTGTTTTGAGAATGTTTTTACTGGACTATGAACAAGTCAGGACCATTGCTGTCAATAGAGGGTCAGGGAGCTTTTCGATTTCCATTTTATAAACTTATCATTAATCCATTTATTAATCTTAATTTATCTCCGAAGACTAACAAAGGTGTCAGTAGTTTGAAACGACATGAGGGTGAATAATTAAATTCCCCATGAATTCTTTTGAAATGTGCATTTTTTTATTCAATGTTTGACGAAATCTCAGCTGAAGCGTGAAGAGAGGGCGGGACATAGCATAGCTCCTCTCCTCTTTGAAAAAGCAGCCAATAACATTTTGTTCTCCTCACGGTTCTGCCAATGAGAGTGATTGAGCTCGAACGCATCAGTTGAAAAAAGGAAATGAGGTCTCTTGAAGGGGGCGGGGTATGTCAGATACTAGAGAGCATTTGGTTGGTCAAGATTTTATGAGAAACTGAAGTATGAGGTGACGTGAAAAAAAAAAGCAATCCATTAAAACAGAAGTGACTACAAGTTTTACATGTTTATATCTTCTAGTGTTGTGAAAACTGTACAAATTCATATGATTAACCATGAATTTGCAAAAACTATTACAGAAAAAAAGGCATAATTTTTGATTTTATACACATTTCGAAATACCTGGAGCTCCATAAAACCACTAAACCGTGAGCGAATCGGTTGGCATCACCTGCATAATCTGTCAAATAAACGTGCCATCTAAACATCCAGCGTGAACATACTATGGCAGTTGTTTCCATTACTGTCACATTAAATTATCCGTGGCTTACAGATTTGGCAGAATTGCCCAAGGGTTTGAGAAGATCAAGACAGAGCCTCGGCCACCAGTTAGGAGTTTGCATCTGAGGTGGAGAAGGAGAAAGAAAAAAAGATAAGATAATAACTCCATATGTGTGACAGCCTCCAACAAGCGCGAGTCAAGCGTCACTTTAAATAACGTGTTGATTTTTTTTGGTTTTGAGAAATGCGTACTTTGACAGTCTGGGTTACACATCGCTTTAGCGCTTGCAGTTCTGACAAGTCTCTTACTCATATTACAGAGACAAAGTCACTCATTTTCAGAAAATTGAACAAGTGCTCAACAAATGAAACTTTTCAGTAAATAAATGAAACCTTTCAGAAGCTTAAATATTTTTTATTTTATTTATGTATTTAAATTAAGCTTTTTTTAAGGGTAAACTTAATAATTTAAAAATATTGTTTTGAAAAATGTTTATTATAATGTAAAGTTTTTTCCTTTTTACTAATATTACAAATGTACTTAACTGGGATTAAACATATAGAACAATATGTATCAATACAATAAATAAGTATATTTTAGAAATATATTTAAATAGATATGTTTTTTATTCATTGTTTTAAAGACATATGGTAATATGCATCACAATACAATTTAAGTTATAGTAAATATATATATATATATATATATATATATATATATATATATATATATATATATATATATATATATATATATAAATTTAAACATTTTTAAAAAATGAGAATAATCATTTATATAATTTAATAAATTGTGGTTCATTCCACTGTGGTCACCCATGAAAAATGAGGGATAAGCCGAATGAAAATGAATATATTTGAATTGTAGTATTTGTTGTACCTTTAAATTGATGATATGACAAATCTTTATGTTGTTTAAAAGTTTCAAATATATTTAGAAAAAGTATTTAACTATTAAAAAACGGGGGGAAAACTCATTAAAGCTCAATTAAAAAAATACCATGTCAATACCATGTTTTTCCCCCACATACAAAGTACCATGTGCAAATTAATATCGGCTACAGTATATAAACACGCACATCATTCATTCGCAAATTAAACGAATCCGTATCCCCGAAAGCTCATCATCAGGTAAGGGTTAATGAGTTTGCTTTAGCATGTGTATTGCGCGGATCTGCGGTCTTCGCGTTCGTTCACACACTTTGGTGAGGCGGTGACACTCAGTGAGTCATTTGCGCTCCGGTCGCAGGACTGACAGCTGATGCTCATGGACCAACGCATGAACGCCACAGGATCTGTTCACGATACACCTGAACACCGACACAAGCCCAACCATCATCTTCCTCATCCTCTTCATCCCTTTCTGCCTCTCTCCGCATAACGCGTTACTCTTAATTATCTGCCATGCCAAGCTGGAGGATAAACCTCACTTTTTGTCTGCAGAGGATGCACGACGAAGGTAAAGTGAACGGGTTTCTGACTTTAATCGAGAGTTTGTGGTTGTTCGCTGATCATCGGGTGATATTGGCAGATGCGCCTGCAAAGCTGCATGTTATGCGTAATTGGCATCAGATGTGAATTCAGCACGAGTGACTGCGTTATCTGCTCTGAGCCCACGTGTTAATGAAGTGGCATGTGTTTAGTCTGGCTTTGTGTCTGGAATGGTGTCTAAAATTATGTTTGAAGCAGACTTTGTTGTGCCCAGGATGTAGCCTTGCAGTTCTCCTCGATAAGTTATTGACGATTTTACATTCTGCACTACTTTCTCGTGGATTAATAAACACTCTCAGTAATAAAGGCACAAACGCTGTCACTGTGGTGGTACCTTTTTAAAAGGTGCACTTTTTTTTTACCCAAAACGGTACACTTTTGTACTTAAAAGGTCCACAATGATAAAACTATTTTTGGACATATAGCTGAGGAATGGTTAAAAAGGGATAAACATCTAATTAATATTTTATTGGTAGCTGTCAAAAAAAAAGCATTACCAAAAAATGGTTGTCACATGAAAGTCCTACCCTAAATGCATGATTGGAAAATACAATGGAAATGTATAAAATTGAACAAATTCCCACTTTTGTTAATCAGAAAATATAAAAATGTATTTATTTATGGGAAAAAATTGCCTAACTATGCAACATCCCATTGACCTGAACTTTTCTGTTAACCTAAAAATGGAAGGATCACTTCCCTACATGTACATAGTTTTGTTGCTAGTGTGTATGTATATCTTAATTTACTGGTTTCAAGAGTTCACACTTAGCTGATAATCAATAAAGCGTATTTGGCATGCTGTCCCGGGAGAGAGCCCTGAGCTCGTAATATCCTCGAGCCCGGGGCTCCCTCCCGTTAGAAGGGCGAGAGGGGAATTCGAGGTCAGGTAGGTCTCGAGAACTCCCCTGCTTGTCACCGTGAGAAGTGTAAACTCAGGTTGTATTGGTTGATAATTTGTTTTAGTCAATTGGCTATGGTTTATGTTTTTGGACGGTGGGAGGAAACCGAGGAACCCGGGGAAAACCCACCCGAACACGGGGAGAACATGTAAACTCCACACAGAAACACCAACCGGCCCGATGGGTTGGACCAGCGGTGTTCTTGCTGTGAGGCAACAGTGCTAGCCACTGGGCCACCTTGTCGCCCGATCAGAAAAAGTGGGAGGATGTAGGGGTGGAAAGGGGGGGAGCTTCAAGACGAAGATAACTGGAGTGAAAAACTCAGGTTATTTATAATGCTTCCGTAATCATCTAATAGGGCTGATTACGGAGCTAA